ATCACGTAATTTCAAACTGTAGTGAACCTCGTATCAGACTAAGGAATAAGAGTATACTAAATGCAAATGAATGGATATGTAGTACACTTTGAACTTGCATAGACTCTGACTGTGACCTTATCACTGGCAGTGCAGTGACTGAGGAGGGCAGGGAAAGGCGAACCAGCCCTCAGGAGCCCAAGTCAGTGTTGTACAACACTGAGATCTATGGAGGATCCAGCAAGGCCGCAGGATTATCCACAGACAGAGCCTTTTTCCTCTCACTAGTAACAGCTGGGTCTTGACAAAAGGTAGTTTTGCTTTTTTTGTCAAATGTAGGAAAAACCCTAAGATAAAGTAGTCCCTAGATTGTCTTACTATATTTTTTGACTGTGTTGGAATTTCAGGGAAATTCCAACAAAGTCAATGTCATTATTTTATTATGATTTTATTTTTCTGAAAGTGTGTGTGTGTCAAGTCAGGGGGGTGGGGGGATTGTCAACACTGCTTTAAGACACAGTCTGTCAGCTATAAAAATACACTTTATAATAAAATGTATCCACAAAACACAAAGGAAACACTAACTGTGTTTGTATTTAATTAGTGTGGACTATTAAGGAAAGGACCTATAAATAACTATTACCAATAAGTAATGGTTGGCATTGTACGCTTACACCTGTTATTAAAGGGTTTAATCAGCTCCCGGCAGGTTATGGGCCGGCCCAGTGCTCTCGCTTAGTAACAAAGATTAAAACACTTCTCAGCCAAATCAAGAACAATACTGTGTGGTGTGCTGATCGGATTTCACCTTCAAGGGACACTGTAAGCAGTCACCTGGTGCCTTTGTCCTTGAACGCAGTGTCTCGTAGCTCCTATAAAACCACATTTTCTCTGAGAGACAGCGATTCTCTACCCTTATATAGTGGACGCATGCTGTATTAGTCACCACTTGCACTTAGTCACCACTTTCACTTAGCTGTGAAACCATCTATATCCAATTACATGAACTGGAGCTGGAATTAAGCTGATAGCAGCTGTGACAAAATTGCTGTCAGCTTAGGAAGCATCTTATCTTATCCGATGAATGGAACTACCAATAAATCCTGAGCTGTATATTCCTTGCACAGCTTCCATGAAAAACAATTGTCAGAGGTGGCCACCATTATTATTACTTTTTCATTTCAAAGCATTCTGTATTTGATGCATGAAATTGGGGTCACTCACCCCGCCAGACCCTTTAAAGGGGAATGCATAAAAACAAGTCATCCTAACAGTCTATATGTTTTATACTCCTTAATGAGGTATGCGCAAAATTTGAAAATTGTGTAATTCTGGAATTAATTTATCATATGTGTGTCATGGCTGTGCCCACCATATTGCTGGGGCCACATATGCACTGAAAGGGTTAAAATGAGCATATGTGCACATTAGGAGGGCTTCCTAAAATCTACATAAAATGTGCAAGTATTTCGAATTATTTAGTACACAAAACAAACCGCAATTTGTCCAAATTAAAGTCAATCTGCAGGTGGTCCTAATTCTGTAACTCTGAATTGCCATTTGGCCAAATCACTAAACAAATGGCGTGGATTATAGACAAGCAAGTTCATTTGTTTCCTGAATCAGATGTTCACCCATGGTACCAAAACAAGATTGTTGATGTTAGAGGAGAGCCACTAAATCAAATAAAAATACATAAACATAAACCACTGTAGTTACATACTAGACTTGTCTCATTGGACTAAAGGGACCCACTTTCCATCAAGAGCCTTGCAGAACCTTCTGACAGAAAGGATGCTTCAGAGCCCCGCACCCAGTAGGGCTCAAGGAGCCCCATTCCAGAAGAACTCCTCCAAAGCTGTGTTCTCAAAGGGTTTTCTCCACCTATTGTGACTCTCTCTCATCCTGTCTATAGTATGTCCTCACAAACCAGGAGGCTCCGCTTCCAGCAAGCAGCTCCCGGTTAGTCATGTAGGGGATATAGAATATCCTCTACGTGGTCCATGAGGCCACGCTTTACAGAGTGTGGCAAGTTGATATTCCTAGATTTGCTTTCCAATCCAAACTTCTATGGCCATCTGGTCCTCTGTCTAATGTAATTTGCAGCTTGGGCTTGGATTGCCTCCTCAGTTACTTCAAACATCCTTACTAATAGAGGATGTAGGGATTTGGGAAAGAGCGCACATAACCTTTTTACTTTGTTTTTTACTGTATGTATTGGGGTTGATGTGGACTATGGTCGTTGCTAGGTTACAGAGGTAATGCAGTGCGTGAACCCCAAAAATAACAACAAATAGGAGACGATATGGAATGGAGTAAGGGATCCACCTAGAGATAGATGGAACACACTCCACTCAAGTTACCTCCAGAAATTAAAATATTATTTAGTGGTAATAACCTTTATTAGAAGCCAAATACATAAGACAAGGACAAATATACAAAAGTGTGTAGTGCAAACTTATGGTGTGTAAATCAAAAAAAGATGGTGGCTCACCTTAAAAAAACAGGGGAGGGGGAGGGATATATACAGGTACAGAAGATTATTCCTATGGACGTAACTTGTATTCCTAAGTAGAAGGAATACCTCTCATACAGGTATATATTGGCTAGTCAGGCCCAAGCAGGGAAGACGAAACATAAGTAGCAGAGGCAGTAGTCCGTTAACAGCACTCAAAAGTAAATTTGTATCCACTTAGTTGAACGCTTTCCTGTTCTATTTTTTATTAAAAAATTTTAGTTCCACACATGGTGGGTTCACTTATCCCTTGCAGCACAGTTGTTGAAGCTGCCTGTATTCCTTACAAAATGATATAATAATGATGTGTCTTCCATCTGTATGATAAAAAAATGGGAACACAATTCATTTTAAAAGAGATCCTGGCAAATATAGCCGATATTTGTTATGCTGTTTGTTTATGGGAAACACTGCAATCCATTTTAAACAGAGCTGCACGCATTACACACGGTCAGGAGGGCAGACACATAGACAATGGACAATAGGACTGACACAGAGTGAAGGCATTTTTTGTGTCACCCTTCAAATATATAATATCTAGGTTACTAGAAATGTTTGACAAGTGTTCTGCTTACCAGTGACACTGCAAGCTATGGTTACATTATTTTCCTGCAAGAACAATTGTGCATTGTCAGTCAAAAAGAGTTTATCTATTTAAAGGGAAAATGTTAACAATGTCTAATAAATGTTACGTAATTTATTTTACAATAATTTCAAATAGTAACATACACATATATGAATTAAACAATAATTTACATTTTCTGGATTATGCAATTTTGCAACAGTCTTACTTACTAAGCCTTTAAAGGGATACTCCGGACCCCTAATGCCTGTATTTAGTTTTCTCTTTATAACCTCGATTTTTCTCCTATGTTTTCTATCTCAGTTTTACCGTCTTTACTTCTCTCTCTGTTTCCTATGTCTTTTCTTTACTCCTTAGGATAAGCCTGTATTCCCATACAGTATTTAGGTTGTAAGAGGCACCACTTTTGCTTAGTACTCTGTTAGACGTCCACCCAGTCTCCACTCCTTCAAAAAATCATTTGAAAACGTACTTCTTCAGAAAAGCGTATCAATTAAACTGTTAACAGCTTTTCATCCCCGCACCCTGACTTTTCTCCTGCAACTGTCAAAAATAACCTACTAAGCCCTCAGTGAATAATTTTCTAGCAATCTACTTTGATCCCTCTACTTTTACCTTTTGTGTCACTTTACCCCCCTCCCTCTAGCATGTAAGCTCATTGAGCAGGGCCCTCAATCCCTCTGTTACTGTCACTATACCCCACTCCCTCTAACATGTAAACTCACTGAGCAGGGCCCTCAATCCCTCTGTTACTGTGTCACTATACCCCACTCCCTCTAACATGTAAACTCACTGAGCAGGGCCTCAATCCCTCTGTTACTGTGTCACTATACCCCACTCCCTCTAACATGTAAACTCACTGAGCAGGGCCCTCAATCCCTCTGTTACTGTGTCACTATACCCCACTCCCTCTAACATGTAAACTCACTGAGCAGGGCCCCCAATCCCTCTGTTACTGTGTCACTATACCCCACTCCCTCTAACATGTAAACTCACTGAGCAGGACCCTCAATCCCTCTGTTACTGTGTCACTATACCCCACTCCCTCTAGCATGTAAACTCACTGAGCAGGCCCTCAATCCCTCTGTTCCTGTGTCACTATACCCCACTCCCTCTAGCATGTAAGCTCATTGAGCAGGGCCCTCAGCCCCTCTGTTCCTGTGTGTCCAACTTGTCTGGTTACAATTACGTTTCTGTAAGTCCTCCCATTGTACAGCGCTACAGAATTTGCTGGCGCTATATAAATAAATAATAATACGCTATTCTGAGCTCCCTACCCTCTTGGCTAACGTGCCAGATCTAGTTATTATCATACTACCATAAGCCTTTCGAGGAATGATGCTCATAATTCCCATAGATGATTTTTATGACTCTTTATTGTTATGAATATGTAGATTTATTATAGAGGTTTTTGCAGTCTTGGCATGGGCTTCTGAACATACTAGTATTTGGATTATGCTTCCTTACTGGCAACATTGTATATGTCGAGCTGTGCTTGTTATTTAATCTTAACATGATTCCTGCTCTTCTGTATATTGTTTTTTTTTGTTTTGTTTTGTTTTTTTAAATTGCTAAACAGTAAAAAAAAAACTTATATATAGCATTGGATTATGTATTCAATAAGTCAATTTTATATAGCTGTTTTTGAGAAAATAGTGCCCTTTTCTGCTAATTATTTCATACGTCAACTTTCAAGCAGTCATCACAAAGGTAGTCTGGTACAAATTCAACATGGCTGCTCTCTGTAACATTCTAGTTTGCATGTAGTTGTGAATGGAACACATTTTCTTAAACAGATAATTAATAAAATGACTGCCTGTGTTTTTTATAAAACTTTTTTGTTTTATTTAACTGTTTTAATTTTTTTCTTATATTGGTATGTGAAATAAAATTAAATATTGTATTATGACACAGAAAATCAAGATGGCGGAAGGGAAAGTTGCCACTACCCCTGTCCTACGTCAAACACAGTAAGTACATTCTCAATTACAACTCTCTGGGCATTGAGAAGTGGATTCCAGCTTTACCACCCAAAGAATTGCCCTCATGAATACTCCATTTTCTTTTAAATTTATATTAAAGCGTTAGCAAATTACAATTATTATAATTCAGTTCTTACAAGCATAACCATGGCAAAAAATTGCAAATGAAGAGGAGATATAGAAGCATTATTTACCGGTATATGATCTTCTCTTTTTACAAAGGAGAGGTCTTATAACATGGCAATGATTGACAGGGAGCTAAGATGGAGGATAAAGACGTGTTTTTAATTTTAGTTTTCACACTTCCCAAATACATATGTTCTAAATATATGGATAATTAAAGATAATAGTAAAAATCATGTGAAGTGACAGGATTGAAATTAAATTAAAATTAAAATCGCAAAGCCATATTTGAAAACCAGCTGAATTTGAGAATTTTCTCAATACATATATTTTTCGCACAGTATTTTCAATTTGATTAAAAAGTTAACTAACAGTCCCTGTTAAGCAAACCATTCCTCCACTGGTTTTCACTAAATCTTTGTAATGTGAAGAAATAAAAGGAATTTTGAAATGTTAGGCCAGCTTTGTGTTGTTATTTTTTTTTTATATCTTTTAATATTTTGTGTAATAGTAATATATTTTTATAACAAATATTGTTGTGATATTTTATTATTTTGAAAAAAACCTTTAAAAAAAAGTGTATTTATAAATATTTGTTATTGGTATTTGTTTTGATCTTGGCCTAAATTTTGCGAGCTAATTGTGATCTTACCTTATCTTTAGCGAATAACCTTTTTTTTTTTTAAAGATTATTTTAATTTGTAATAAAAACAAGTTACTTGTCAATGCTACTATGTGCCGGCTGACATATTTAACAGTGTTAGGGAGAGTGATCAATCACAATGATACAAACAGAAGCGAAGTCATTCAGTAATCAGTCTAAAACAAGGCTTCCCAACCGAGTCCTCAATTACCCCCTAACAGTCCACGATTTAGGGATTACCCAGTTTTTTTTAGAAAAAGAAAAAAAACAGTTTAGACACAACAGGGTAACCCCTAAATCCTGGACTGTTAGGGGGTACTTGAGGACTCAGTTGGGAACCCCTAGAAGATCAATATACAGTGGTCAGTGTTGTTACTGCAGATTCAACTGTCTGAAGAGACACAGCCCAGTAAATCCTGCAACGCAGCACAGAAAGGTTGTTATAAAAGTTACCTCACTACCTAAATGAGTATCTTTCTGCCAAAGTATCTGATAACAAACTGCTAACAATAAAGAAATGTTTTAGCAATGTTGTGGTTTTTTTTGTCTCATTTTTTAAAGAGACACTCCACATAGCTAAACAACTTTCAGTTGCTGAATTGCTCTATGTGTGAAGAGTGTGTCTCTTTTCATTTAACAAAAAGTGCAGTTTTCAATAGAAATTGGCACCTTTATAGATTAACCTTGCTACACCCACTGACTGTCAATCAGACAACCAGTCCTGTTACTTCCTGGTTGTTTAACTTAGCAGAACTAATGAGACAGACAATTGCCCAGAGCACCTGCCTTGGAAAGATTTTTGTGGTTAGACAGCCACTGGGGTAAAAGAGGGGGGCTCAGAAAGGATGCAGACAAAAGGAAAATAAGGAAGCACGTGTTCAATGTGACGTATTTCTACGAAATTCTTAACTGTTATTCACATTTTTTTTATAGATTGATCATATTAAAGGTTTACTCCAACCACCATGACTACTTCGTTGATTTGAATTGGTCATAATGGTAGGCGTCTGTATGTTCGCCATTTTTGCTTGAGATATATTCACCTTTGTTCCATGGCACAACTCTGTTCCAGGCTGCCTAATATCAATCCTGTGCAAAAATCATGTCTGTCGACAGATATAATCAGTTCCTCCCTTGTAGGCAGCGTGCATTTATTTTATTTAAACAGCAGATTGCCAGAAGAAATTTGCTAAATTCTAGAATGTATTGCCATTTATTTTGAGCAATAGAATAAAATTTTATTTAGAGATCCATATCTCAATTTATAGGTCTATATTTTACTATTTTTAGAACAAATTTTTTGAATTATCATCTCCCCTTTTTTGATTGCAGAGTAAATCATATATCTTCTAAAGACAAGATGGAGGAAATAAAGAATCCAGTTTCAGGCCCATTTAAGAGCAATGACATTGCCGCTTTGGCCAGCAGACTAGAAAACCTCGCCCAGAACACCCCACTGAGGTTCAGTTCAGACGCAATGAGACCCACAACTAAAAATACCTCTCGATTTGGAAATCAGAGCAACCATTCATTCTTCTCCAGACACAATCCCCACCCACACCGTGTAACGCACATCTCAGGTATTATTATTATTGCCATTTATATAGCGCCAACTGATTCTGCAGCGCTTTACAATATTATGAGAGGGGGGAACGATAGGTTGAGGTGGACCCTGCTCAAACGAGCTTACAGTCTAAAGGATGTGGGGTGTAAAACATATTAGGACAGGAAATTGCAATCAAATAAGGTGGGAGTGAAGCAGAGCTGGAGGAGAGAGTAGAGTGCTGCCCTTTAGGAGAGAGCAAGGGACAGGTATGTAAGGTAGAGGTTACTCTGGGAGGCCATAAGCTTTCCTAAAGAGATGCGTTTTAAGACACTTCTTAAAAGACGCAAGACTAGGGGAGAGTCTGATGGCGGTAGGCAGGCTATTCCATAAGAAGGGAGCCGCCCGCGAGAAGTCCTGCAAACGTGAGTTTGCCGTACGGGTGCGAGCAATGGACAGGAGAAGGTCACGGGCAGAGCGGAGAGACTGAGAAGGGGCATACTTATGGATCTGTGAATAGATATGAGGGGCTAGAATTGTTCAATGCTTTATAGGTATGGGTTAGCACTTTGAATTGACTTCTATAGGATACAGGAAGCCAATGTAAGGACTGACAGAGGGGTGAGGTGTGAGAGGACCGACTAGAGAGGATAATCAGTCTGGCGGCAGCATTCATTACAGACTGTAGCGGGGCAATACGGCTTTTGGGAAGACCAATTAGGAGAGGGTTACAATAATCCATGAGGGAATTTACTAGCGTCTTGCGTAAGAAAGGGGCAGATACGGGCTATGATTTTAAGATGGAATCTACAGAATTTGGAAACATAATGGATGTGATGCTCAAACTCGAGGTCAGAATAAAGTATGATGCCAAGACAGCGCGCTTGCAAGAATGGACTTATGTGGATACCACTAACTTGAAAGGAGAGCGAAAGAGGAGGATCAGTATTAGGAGGAGGAAAGACAAGGAGCTCCGTTTTAGAGAGATTGAGTTTCTGAAAGCAGGAGAATATCCAGTCAGAGATGGAGGAAAGGCAGGCAGTTGCAGGATGGCAGGGGAGAGGTCCGAGGAGGAGAGATATATCTGGGTGTCATCAGCATACAGGTTGTAGTGTAATCCAAAAGAGGTAATAAGTTTGCCAAGAGAGGCAGTGTGGCGGAAACCGCCTCGCCACTGGACATTGGAGAGGCCTGGCTGCCCGCCTCCTACCTGCTGACTATGGCCCCTGGTAAATTTGTACTCTTGAATGCAATATTTGGGCATGTGGGCCATCCGTGGACATATTATGACTTTTAGGAGCAATGCCTTTAAGACTGTGTAGCAGATTGCATTCAAGCTGTCTTTAATATTATGTGTTATGTAAACAGTGTTATGTGTATGCAGCATTCGTATGATTGTTCGGTAGAATCACTCCATTCATTATATTGAGTGAAACTACCGAACAACCAGAACACCCAGGAATAAGTGTGCCTCCAATTACCCGTTTGCAACAATGTTGCAAACGGGTAATTGGCAATCTATGTAATGTGTTCTTTGTCCTCTGGGTGGCCGCCATTCGGGAAACGAAGACGTGGCGGCAGCCATCTTAAACTCCTGAACAGCGGTGTTTTGACGTTGAGTGTCTGGAACTAAAATCGGACACTCGACTAGGCAAACACCGCTGAGACCTCCAGACTTCCAGCAATTCGTGCAGAAACTAGTAGAGAGGATCCCACGAACAAGGGGATTCATACGAATCCTCCCCAAGCTCCATAACCCAGTTAATTTGTGTGTTTCATTCCCTTTTCTGTGACCGACCGCATGGCCAAAATACATGGAACTATTTTCGGATACTTTACCCATGCGGTCGGTCAAATCTTTACCTGCCCATAACTCCCGAACCCCTGGTCTGATCTGGGTGATTTTTGGATATGTTCCTCACCCAGACCAGGGCTATCAGGGGGTACCATATTTAAAGGTGTACCCCCCGTATTTGGGGTACATCCAAGAATTGGGGAAAAGTGTGTACTGTATAATTATGTTAAGTGTTAATCTAAGGGGAGGAGATATGTGGGAGGTAACAGGTATGGTATTGGCGGTTGTAATAATTATTGTAAATCCCTCTCTTGCATGGGAGAATGTCTTAAAAGGAGGTGGTGTGAATAAATCTTGAGTTCCTGCTTAACCCTCAAAGTGAAGTGTCGTCTCATTATTGGGGAAGGATTTATTGAATGCTGTTCCAGTTTGACTGCTAGGAGTCTAAACCCATCCGTATGGTTTTTGCCTATTCAGCTGTTTATAGCATTCATATGCTTGAGAGAAGGTATATGCTTCTCCGGTTCGGTGATTGTGGTGTCTGCCAGAGTGCTTGGAGTCCTCAGGAAAGGCTAGGAGCATCCTTCAACGGAGGTACCCAGTCAGGGTGCCAGGTGATCCTTTACAGGCAGTATAAAGAGAAAATAGAAGGGGACCAAGGACAGAACCTTTGGGGACTCCAACCGAGACAGGACGAGGGGAGGAGGTATCATTAGAAAAGGAGACACTGAATGAGCGTTGGGAGTGAAAAGAGGAAAACCACGAGAGGACAGAGTCACAGAGACAGAGTGATTGAAGAGTTTGAAGAAGGAGAGCATGATCAACGGTGTCAAAGGCAGCAGAGAGGTCAAGAAGAATTAGTATGGAGTAGTGGCCTTTGGATTTAGCTGTGATTAGGTCGTTAGTAACTCTGATAAGAGCAGTCTCAGTAGAGTGGAGAGGGCGGAAGCCGGATTGAAGAGGGTCAAGGAGAGAGTTGGAATTGAGGAAGTGAGACATATGGGTAAAGACAAGCCCCTTATCTCTGTCTTGCTTGGACTGTGGTGATTGGCTGAGAGTGTAAGCGGACCACTTTCAGCCTAACACAGCTCCCATTGCTGGTATGAATCGGTATACCTCAGTCATACAACTCGTAAGACTGGGTTGGGGGTCTTCAGGACCCATATTCAGGGGTAAACTGCCTGATTGTTTATCACTGAAGTGTAGTCTGACCTTTTAACTAAAATGATTCCTTTGGCGAGGCAAAATTACAAAAATTGATCAAAGAAAATGTAATGCATGTTTCTTGTGTCATTGCATCATCAGCTGAAAATAATTTTTAACTCTTTATCTCCCTCTTGTGGAAAATTTGTTCAAAACATGATGTTTGATAATTTTAAAAATGGTTCTAATAACGTTAATGTAATATTCATAAAGTGCCATTTATACAGTAGCAATGTCGTTGATATGCGGGGAGCTGACAGGGACTGGACAGGGACAGTTCTACACTGAAAAGACTTCGGTCTAATTTAATCCAATTTATTGTTAGCTTCAGTCTCATGTAATGCTGAGAGAGAAATAACATCTCCAAATACACAGTTTGTGAAAATAATGAAGTGAAATTGCAGAACGTGACTGTTAGCATTAGTTTATATTGGTATAATTTCTGACAGCATTCCTGGCAACCAACTAATCTTGGCATAAAGGAACAAAGCATATCAAGTCCATGCCCATAGCACTTATGTAATAAATCCTTGATTTATAAATTAGTACAATGCTTTAAGGATATTCTGAACCGTTGTATACTGTTTGTTTCAGGACTTAATGGAAATCCAATCTGCAATGTCAATGATGAATGGTCAGTCACTTCTCCACTTTACCCTCATCCCATGATCAAAAACCAGCTGGACACAAACCTGCTGGGTGTACAGTGCAGCTTGCCAATAGGAGACCCCTACGGAAACAAGGTCCCATTCCTGGCAGCAGGTTGGCACTATAATAAGTGTTATGTTGTGATATGCTTTATCTTGAAATTTGTTTTGGGTTCCTTAGCATTGAAATCAAGTAATTTCCTCAAAGAGAAAGCCATCTCCCAGTACCGCGTATGCTATGCACGCACATTCACACACCCGCCATCTTGGTATGTCTGGTGTTTATACCATGTTATACACGTGTGCTAATGACATGTTTATAAATAGACAAGTCTGTATGCATGCCTAACTAAGTTCCTAAGAGTGGCTAGTTATGTTTGTGTTTGGGAGAGTGAGGGAGGGGCTCTGCATATGTTAAGGGTCACACTAGTTCTTATGGTGTTTGCATGGTTCCTTTAGCGCTCTAGGCTACAGGATACTCCTGTTAAGACCCGGTCATGCTAAATGCAACTAATTTTAAAGACCTTTGTTGACAGTTACATTCAGTAAATTTCCCGAAGCCTTCATTGACTTGCGTATATTATCATCTAAAATAGCTCATGCTTCTCTTACTGCAGGTATTTTGTGTGTATTGTATGTATTTTTATGTGTGCGCTGTTTCTTAATCTGTATTATGTATAAATATTGGTCACTACGGCAGCACCATTCCTGCAAACTGCATGTTCCGGGTGTGCCCACAATCCTATCTGTCTCCTACTGCAGGCATTTTATCAGAAGCATGGCGGGAAGAGCTAAGGAATCTCGCAACGAAGGTCTGCACAAATGACAAACCGGAAGATAAAAAGGAGGTAATTACTGGCAGCAGCAATTTAACTAATCACATGATTATTGTTTAGAAATCATATGTCTCAACATAGGGAGGTAGGCCATAGGGACGGAGTGGGCGGGCCAATGAAAGTGCGTGCCAGTGACCCAACTTGTACCAGTGGCGAAGTCCATTACATTATGAAATGGGAGGCAGGCCGAACCACTGAAGGGTTGTCAGCCTGGAATCAACACATGCCAGGCTGATTAAAAGCCTCCAGGCTGGCACCACACACAGCAGGTACTGGGCACCAAGGAACCAACCCAGGACAGTGGTGAGGACACCAAAACAAGGACTGTAACACTGAAGGCCTGAACAATGGACTACCATACTACAGTCAACATTATAGTGTTAATCTAGCAGTTACAGCAGCACAAAGACTGGAATCCTGAATCTACAAACCATGCACGTTCTTTTAACATCATTAATAAACAGTATTGAAAAAAATGATTCATATGTTGCTAGAAGTATCTCTAGGGTTTAGTGAATAATAGAATGATACATTGCCTGCCATTGAAATGTTTGTTAACCTTTACTCTTTAATTTTACCACTTTTATGTCATCAGGCAGAGGAACCCCAAAGAGCTACACTGTACTCTGCAGAAACTGGGCGTCTTATCCCCCCATCGTCACGTGCAAGGACCCGTCAGGCATCCCGCAAAGGAAACAGAAATAGCACCAGCAGAGGAAAAGATCACAGCACCTTGTTTCAAGACCAGGAACTACTGGTAAGAATGCTGGCGACCGAGACACCTTTACTAGGCTACAAGAGCCTTTGAAGTTATGGATCAGAGGGGCCAAAATCTATGTCTAAAATTCATGTTTAACTATAATTATTTCAGCCAGGTTTGCTATGTGGGATCCATCTTTATAGTAATCAGACGCAGCTTTGTGATAAAGTAAAAAGAAAAGAATTATTTATAAAGTAAAACATGGACCCATAAGGGGTATTTCTGAGTGAATGAAGCTATTTGCCGTATGGGACTAAAGATTATTTTTCTTTCTTACATGTAAAGAAACCAATATAGTGTTACTGGACTTTACCTCTTTTTCTTTAATTATCTACATTCATTTTAATTTCTATACAAACTTCTTCAGACACACCTTTCTATACCGGCTTGGTCATTCTGATCTTGTGTCTAAATCAGTCATTCTCTTACTCAAGATCCCTCTCACCAGCCAACATATAAAGAGAGTTAACTTGCCCTGCACAGGAAACAATGCACAACTGAGGACCTTTTTACAATGTCCTTCATTTCTATCTGTGATCTGCGTAAAACTCAGTAAAATTGAGTGACTGCAAGTATCGCAGGCTCAGCAAAACCTCTGTAAAAGCTTTACTGCAACAATACGAAGACGTGATATCATCATTCTCTGACCAGACATAAGCTGAACTAATGAGGATGGTCTTGGGTCAGAAAACATCTCATTCTGAACCACGTTAAATGAAACATAAATAATTCAAGAAAAAGAGACAGAACAGCAAGGAAGTGCCTCAAAATCCAGAAAAATTGACCTTTCCTTTAATGTGGATACTATACATTGAGAGCTTCTAGTCCCAATTTTTGATTTACAAAAGCTTCTATGACAACTATGTCTGAAGATTGAATGGATAATCTTATTTTACATACAAAATGCAAACAACATCACCAGACTACTGATGAGTTCAAAGCATATCATTTTTTACACGCATCAGCCACCCAGCCACTTGCCTAATATCATGTAGGCCACCCTCGTGCTGCCAAGACAGCTCTAGTGCGTCGAGGCATGGGCTCCACCAGATCTCTGAATGTGTCCTGCTGGGCCACCATCAGGGGGTGACAACCATGATGGTTGTCACGGGCCCGTTGGGCCCGGGCCTCACGTGTAGCAGCAGATCTTCCGCCAGTGCAGCTGGGTCAGTAAGTAGTGCTGGGAGGAAGCTTACTCCGTGTGGGAGGGAGGAGAGACAGGCCGTGAGGAGGGGAGAGCCAGCCGACCCCCATCAGCCACAGCCACCCTCCTGCAAAGAAAAGGTGGGTGGCTTAAAAATTATCTATATGTGTATGTATGTCTGTATGTATATAAGTATATCAGTGTGTATGTATGTCAGTAGGTATGTCTGTATGTATGTCAGTATGTATGATTGTCAGTGTGTATGTATGTCAGTAGGTATGTCTGTATGTATGTCAGTATGTATGATTGTCAGTGTGTATGTATGTATGTAGGTATTTCAATATGTATGTGTGTATGTCAGTATGCATGTATGTGTGTGTCTGTATGTATGTTAGTATGTGTCTGTGTGTGTCAGTATGTATGTGTGTATATGTCTGTTTCAGTATGTGTGTCTGTTAGTATGTATGTGTGTGTGTGTGTGTGTGTGTGTGTGTATCTATCTGTGTCCTTTCTGTATGGGTGCGTGTGTTTTTGTCTGTGTGTGTATTCCTGTAAGTGGGCTTGGAGGTGGGCTCCTGTGGTATCTGACACCAAGACATTAGCAGCAGATCCTTTAAGTCCTGCAAGTTGCGAGCTGTGGTATCCCTGGATCAAATATCTTGTTCCAGCATATCCCTTACATACTCAATCTGAGCAAGATCTGGAGAATTTGGAGCCTTGGCAGTGGCCTCCTATTTCAGCATGGAACATCCACTTAAAGTTTATATCTCCTTTAGTAGATCAGGTAGAGTCATTGTCTAAGCCTCCGGCTCCATAAGAAGAGAATTTTCCCTATAAGGCTAGTTGATCCACAATGTAGTCATTAGAAAATTCTAACTCGGCATGCTCCTTGTCCACCATCTTAGGTAAAGCCTGAGAAGGTCTCCTTATCAGGAAAAACTCCATATTGGCAGGTTTAACAGACTGGGGTATGACATTTTTCCTGTGTCTCCGGCCCATTGTGAATATAGTAATGGACAGGTGTCAGGTATAGAATGCGAAGGAAGACATAAAATAATGTGAAATAATGTTGGTTGGAGTCAGGAGCTCAAGAGTCATGAGTCCAATTGCTTATTTAGTCAGTCCACCCCTTAAACATAATTTTTTTTAATGTATTTTTCTTCATAGTTCTGCAGCACTTCTGCAGCAAATGTAGAGACTGCCAGACTTAGCTGCTCAGAACATTCATTGATTATGATTATTATTGGCTTAAAGGATCACTATAGTGTCAGGAAAACAAACTCATTTTCCTGGCACTATATAATCCTTAGGTCCCCCCCTCCCTCAGGATGCCCCTCCCACTGGGTTGAAGGAGTTAAAACCCCTTCAGCCACTTACCTTAATCCAGCGCCGGGCTCCCTTGGCGCTGGTGACCTCTCCTCCCCCTCCGACGTCAGCTCCCGAGTGGAGCTGAATGCTCATGCGCTGCTTCAATGCTTTCCTATGGACGTTCTGTGTGCTCAATGCGATTTTCACATTGAGCGTCGCAGAAGCGCCTCTAGCGACTGTCAGGAAGACAGCTACTAAAAGCTGGATTAACCCTGCAATGTTAACATAGCAGTTTCTCTGCTGGAGGACCTGGCACCCAGACCACTTCATTGAGCTGAAGTGGTCTGGGTGACTATAGTGGTCCTTTAAGTAGAGAATCTTATAGACATAAAACATTAAAACGCATTATCTTCCATTCTCCATTCCCTTTACACATTTTAGCACAAAAGCATGTTACAAGTTAAACATCTATCTATTCTATTCTATATACCAAAGTACTGCAGTATTTAATAATACATTCTCTTTGGTCTAACATAAAAACTTTCAAGAGTTCTTCTCTCTTTCACAGGTCTGAAGCAATAGGAAAACTCTTAAATTTTTGTCTTTTAGGTATTTTGTTAATGAGGTATCATTACAAACTCCTACAGAGTCCCCTAATGCAAATGAATGTGAATATATACTATGCAGCCATATGTAGTACATGGTTCTATTTACCCAAGTTCAAGTTGGATCAAGTTCAAATTGGATGCAAGTCTCTTATTATCAATTTAAGATACAACTGCCACATTTGCTCTATACAGTGGAACCTTGGAACTCAAACTTAATCTGTTCCAGAAGGCTGTTCTAATACCCCTCTTTCCTCTGCTTTTATTATGTCCATAGTCCCTCTTCCCTTACTCGTGTCCCTTTGTCCTCTGGTGTCCTTCTCCTCATAATTCCCTTTTCCTCCTTGAATAATAATTATGTCCATATCACTTCACCCTTTACTTGTGTCCCTCCGGTTTTCCTCTCCCTATATAACCCTCTCTCCCTTTACATAGTCTATCTGCCCATATTTCTTCATTTCACACTTGTATCCCATGCTTCCCCACACTTGTCTCTCTGTGAATGCGGCGTGATGTGTTCGGGTACCGAGGATCGTTCGCATACCGAAACATTTTGTACGCAAAATTTTAGTTCGACTTCCGAATTGTTCGAGAACGGGAATGCTCGAGTTCCGAGATCCCACTGTTTTCATCTTTCATTATAACTGGCAATAAAATTGCCACTAGACATACAGTGATACAATTTGTATAAACATGTCTGTCTGCATTGCTACATAGTAAAAATTTGAGTACACTGATTTCTGACTCTTCTGGTCTACTGTACTAATACGGGTAATATATATATATATATATATATATATATATATATATATATATATATATACACATATAGAAAATAGGAAAAATGAGAGCACTCACTGGATTTAGCACAAAAAAAATTGTATTAAGTGGTGAACAAACTAATCAACGTTTCGACCGTCTCGTGGTCTTTATCAAGATGTCCAAACAGTGCACATAATGATATATATACCATAAAATATTGTAAACTTACCCAATCACCAAATTGAACCCTATTCGATCCTGAGTTCCCTGTGTTAGACGCCAAGTTGCCCCCACCCCTACGTGCGTGATGACGTCATGTCATGTGATGTCCACAAACTGTGTTGCCTGGTAACAAAACCAACATAGGAAATGTGGATGGTGCGAGTTAAAAACATACAAGGAGGACCTACAGATGTACTGTTAATTGATCATATGAGTGCATTTATTTTACTTAACCTCCCTGGCGGTCTGGTTATGTCAGTATTTTTTTTAATGTTAAAGCGGTACATTGTTTTTACAATGTATTGTGTGTATTTCTTTACACCAGGGGCTCGTAGGGACAAGGTAAGTGATACTACAGTGTAATCCCGAGCGTGGCTCAGGGTTACCGCTTTTGGAACTGAAAATTAACCCAGAGCCATGCTCAGGATTACCGCCAGAGAGGTTAATGAGCCTATTACCTGGAATGGGTCTGCAGCTCCATTACTCGTACCCCCTGCTCTCTATATCCAATCTCTTCTCATAGGTTAGCCTGTGTGGCTGCTCTCCTATGCAGAATCTGAGTTGTGTACTTATACAGTTCAGGAAGAAAAAGAGCAAAAGATGTACAGAATGCTGCAAAACATTTATTGTATTTATTTATTTTTGCAAAAACTATTGAGAATTGAGCATGCAAAAAAAATCATATTGTTGCTGTCTAGGCTGTCCCTTTAAATCACATATATGAAATACCTACTAAAAATACCCTGTCATTGAGATAGAAGTTAAATATGATCACTACCAGGGACCTTCAGCAAACATTCTGTCTCTAATTAAAATAAAATATCCCATGATCAAGTGCCACGTACCTATTTTGAATATTCTTGGCAAATGGTCTATTGTCTATCAGGTATTTCAAACTATGACTTTGCTACTTCCAAACTGCATGTTACTTAGCAAAGAGCATAGAGTAAATAAAGAGGACTAACAAGTCACAGTGACCTGCTATTGTGACATGTCTGCTTTATTTCTGCCAACAGGTCTTGGAGCTTCTGTGCCAGATACTACAAACAGATTCTCTTTCTGCAATCCAACAGTGGCTGCTTTCAGCTGGACCCAGAGGTAATCGATCAGGAGTGAAGAAACCTTGACTGTACTGTTACCGTGCTTAAACTTCACAGTTACTCTTGTTATGCCCAGATTCGATATGTTCTGGAATTAACTAATTTTGTTCTTTTGGTCGGCATGCTGGTTATTTTCATTTTAGATGAGGTTTATATTCAGTCATGCTTGTCTCTTTGAAAACTTTTTTTATGTTGTCAAAAGTTGCCCATGACCACGGAAGATGGCCATCATTGGAGACTTTTTAGAACCCATTTAGTAGAACAGAGCAGCATAATCTGTGTGGTACAAAAATTTTATCAACATTATAAATGCACAGAGAATAAAACCGTGTTCTGCAGAAGTTAACATTTTTTTTTATTATTTGTCACAATCTTATAAAAGTATCACTGGTAAAGTACTATCTCTGATCATGTTCCAAAAGGTCTAATGTTCCCACTTGTCCTACAGAGAAGGACCTCGTAATGAATATGATTCAGACAGCTACTGCCAATATCAAGCTTGATTCTAACACCATGGACAGATCGATAGATGACAGGCTCCAAACTCAAGCTGCATTAGGACTGATATCACGAGATAAGAACTTCCAGAAGAAAGATATAAACAGGTTTAAAAGAATGCTGTTATTTTGTTTAACATGTGAATAATACATAACGTTTTATTTCATTACTTTCTATACCCTTGTTATAGCAGTAACTTCATTGCAATCCTGAACTTTTAATAATAGGCTGGCGCCGCGGTAGTGGCCACAAATGTATTGAATACCCATTTTTCTGCCATCTGTTCACATAGTCATGCATGCATCTGTAATGTGTAGATGGAGAGCAAGGGTGGTGGGGCATTTTGATGTTTCTGGGAGGAGTGGAGATATAGCCATAGAATGGTTTCTTCATCTAGGGCAGAAGTAAGTTCAGGTGTGTTTGAGATGTTCTCAGTGGGCACTATCCACAGGGCAAGCTATTTAAGCTTTTTAGTTGTCAGTGATTGTATCTTATATTTAACTCTTTCTCTCTCTCTCTGTAGCTACAATCACTCCAAGTATAGTTACAACGTGCCCTAATTCAATAATCTCAAAACACTGTACAACAGCAGCAACGCTCACTGTCTCTCCATGGCCACCAGCCTACTACTTAATGCCTTAACATGAATAGTTCCCTTTTAAATGTTTTAACTGACACATTCAGTAGACTGGAGTCATTTTGAATTTACCCTGGGGTTCTCTTGTATTAGTGTATTACATTTTGGTGTGTTATATTCTGAAATGTCACTTGAGGAACATTCAACTATTGGCTCTGTATTCCAGTTCTATTAAACAGAAACAAGAGCCCATCGCAGAAGAAGATAAACCAGGTAATGATCTAAAGATTTTTTACTTTAAAAAAAAGCTTATTAATTCGACATGCACTCCAATTCCATTAAATATATATATATATATATATATATTGTGTACCTTTTTATGAATGTCTTGGGAATAATAACTATAGATGCTGGGTTACATTAGGGTTAGAGTTTGAAATATATACAACATATTATGTAGAGAAGACAAATGAAAGATTAGATTTTTCTACAAGATTATTCTTCAGGTTCAGCACTCTGTAGGAGAAGACAACTTGACCGGTGCATAGTCACTATATGGGCAGGTGGAGATTAATCAATAACCCCATACCCACCCATGTTACCATTAAAACGTGGACACTCAGAGGTATGGGTCAATATGTCCACAGCTTTATTGAAGCATCATACATATAATAATAACCTTTTATAAAATATCAACTGAACATGAAATGTCATTGCCCCGCCCCTCCACCCATACATCACCATACATAACTGTCTGTCATAAATAAAGGCAATGACCCATATAGTAAACATTTCCATAACCATGTAACAACACATAAATATATACATAAATAAAGTGCAACATAATGCTTAACCACCTCCTGGTAGGGGTATACCCGGATACCCCTACACCTCCAAGGTTCTGAGCCACCAACGGCTCGAAACCCACCAACATTGTAACCAACCAATTTGTAACCAGCCAACCAACTTTTTTAACTCTTCTTAATTTGACCATAGACCATATTTCCCTTTCCTTACCCTCACCAACCCCGCTGCTGTGACCAAGCGAGGCTGCAACCCTGGAACCTAAATCAAGGGAGAGAGGGACTAACCCAGACTGGTGAGCAGATTAGTTGTGGCAAAATCAAGATGGCCACCCTATATATACAAGGCTTGCCCTCATTCTAAGCAGCCAATCCTAGCCATTCCCACCTAAGCCCGTCTCCTAGCCCTGTCAAGGCCTCCATTCCACTTAGCCACGCTTGCTCCATGGGGCAACATGACAGGTAATTAGGAACATTGTGTGTTTAGCAGAGAGTAGGGATACAAAGAGTGAGGTCACTTTATTTTGGGCTCTGCATAAAAGATATGAGATAAAGAAAGGTGAAGGACACACAGGAACACATACATTAGCTAACTTAATATTGTTATTGTTAATATATTATAATCACATTGTATTCTGGAGATATTGCTGCTGTAAAGTCACCAAAATCTGGAAAGTGTTCAGATAACAGCAATTTCTCAGTACAGCACATTAAGGGTTTTAGTGCCTCAGATCTCTCCCCCCTTTCCCTAACTGGTGGGGGCCAGCATTGTTTACTGAAGAAGGAGACTAAGAGATATGCTACCTTGCAGTAAACCATTATGAAGAGGGACACATGGTGCATCTTAGCCAGGTTCCTTGGGATTTGCAAGCTGGTTATATATGGACTTTCCCATAGATATACCACGACAAACATGAGTATTTATTTAATTATTAACATGTATTTGTGTCTGTACATTTTTCTTGACAAAGTATGGATTAAGGACATTATATTAACTTGACTGTCTGTGAATTACTATGAAATAATATAGACAGCCCAATCCATATAAATTCCAATTAAATTACACAATTGGAAGCCACGTGGATCATTTTTGACTTAAAGGTTCAGGGTGTCAGAGTCAGAATAATTACCAAACCAGTCAGTGATCACTTTCCTAAACTGCCGCTGTTCTCAAGATTTCCACCAATATGAGATTTCTTTTCTGTTGATTTACAGAACACATTGGCACTGCTGAAGTTCTCCAGATACATTCTCAATCAGATAATGAAAATCAAAGCAAGTCTGATTCAGCCAACTAACAAGATGTCCTTCAATTATATGTATGGCTTGCAAGATGAAGAACTGGTGGACATACCTGTCAATAAGTCACTGGTTCATAGAATATGACAAATGCGTAGTCAGAGCTGCAACTAATAAACCTTGGTAGAGATATCCTCCTTATAGACTGTTAGTGCTTGCTCGATGTTACATGCATGAATAAAACAATGTATTTGTTAATATGGGAGGGAAATAGTCAATATAGTCCTGAAATGCTTTGTACCCAACAATCAGATCTAAGTTTAAAGGATCACCACTTACCAAGGTAATATTGATGCGCAGCTCCACTTCATATGTAGTTTTCATAGCTGCTTATATCTCGTTCTAATCTGCAGGGAACCCATCAAGGGACAGAGGAAGCAATCTTAGCAAGCAGAAAACAGATTTATGAAAAATGGCATCCTCTCTCTAGATATCTGTAGTGTATACATGTAGTATTTATGTGTTTTTAAAATGTGACATATACATTGTATTCTTTACTTTGTGCTTAAATAAACTGTATAAAGACTGCCTTGATTAAATCTCTTCATTTAGGACCCCTAAAGCCTAAGGCAGGAGTAGACAACAGAAAACACCAGACGTTGTGGACTATATCTACCATAATACTCTTATAGCCATAATGCAATCTAATAAAAATAATAGTCTGTGGATAGTTAATACAATGTTAAACAAAAATCTGCACACTAGTCAAGCCATAAGACTTTCTTTTCCCACAGAAATCACAAATTTGCAGTGATGTTACTACCACAAAGGATTCTGGGTGGGAATATGCAAATTAGTTCAACAAAGAATCACATTTTTGCCTCATTCCATTTTAAACATGGATCCCTTTGAGTCTGTGTTTGCAGTATCCACTGGTGTGCAGAATTTTGTTTGCATTGTAATATGTAATATATAATATATATATATATATATATATATATATTATTTTATTTTTTTAATACACCGACTGTACAATATCCGTCAATCCATTTAGGAATGATTTCATACTTATCTTGCTGTGTTGAGTGACCGCCGTTCCAGTCTGAGTTGATCTAATTAAAGGGACACTATAGTCACCTGAACAACTTTAGCTTAATGAAACAGTTTTGGTGTATAGAACATGCCCCTGCAGCCTCACTGCTCAATCATCTGCCATTTAGGAGTTAAATCCCTTTGTTTATGAACCCTAGTCACACCTCCCTGCATGTGTCTTGCACAGCCTTCCATAAACACTTCCTGTAAAGAGAGCCCTATTTAGGCTTTCTTTATTGCAAGTTCTGTTTAATTAAGATTTTCTTATCCCCTGCTATGTTAATAGCTTGCTAGACCCTGCAAGAGCCTCCTGTATGTGATTAAAGTTCAATTTAGAGATTGAGATACAATTATTTAAGGTAAATTACATCTGTTTGAAAGTGAAACCAGTTTTTTTTCCCATGCAGGCTCTGTCAATCATAGCCAGGGGAGGTGTGGCTAGGGCTGCATAAACAGAAACAAAGTGATTTAACTCCTAAATGACAGTGAATTGAGCAGTGAAATTGCAGGGGAATGATATATACACCAAAACTGCTTTATTTAGCTAAAGTGATTAAGGTGACTATAGTGTTCCTTTAAGGTGATGTCTGTATCTCAATATTATTGTAATAACTCATAAACTTTAAACACTATTTATTGGATGAGAGCCATCACATGACTCTATTAGCAAATGGAATGAAGTTGGACATCTGTCACATGTTATCGCCAAAGAAAAATCTAAATTTTTATACTTTAAATTTATATTTAATATAAATAGTACTTTGCACCTTCTATGACAATTCACTAAGGTTACCAAGAGAAGATGAGTTCCCAAAAGCAAATATTAAACTGTTGAATAAACATTAGATAGATGTATTTTTCACTTTTTTGTGGCACAATAGAAATTTGCTAGAACTTTTTTTTTTTTTTGGCAATCTCTTTATTGAGGTAAACACTCAACAGACAGATTAGACAATACACAAAATGTCAGTATAAATGTGATGAGCAGTATGTATGCATACAGAGAAGTAATACCCCATATTACAATAAAAAGAAAAGGAGAGTAAGACTATTCTAAGTTTTGTCATATTAGCTGCAAGAATATAACACTGACTGGCTATCACATAAGCTAGTATTCACACAGATATAATAAAAAGATCATAAAAAAAACTTGTATAGAACTAGTTTTTTGCCTTCTTTTTGATCAACGTCAGTGAAAGTAAAAATCTTTGAACTTTTTAAAGCCTCTATTTATATGTAACAGCTTAATAATTTTTGTGCAGCTGTTCCTGCATAGAGAAAAGTGTAAATCCTGCATAAACCTTACATGTAATCCCTAGAAATATAAACAATACTGTATCCTAATGTCTGTGGTTATGGCCGTCAAGCTATGGCTGGTTCCTCTGTGCCCAACAGGGATATACACGTAGGAGATGGCATAAGAATGGACCTGAGAGTGCAGCAGATATTCCTAATAATGTTTGCTGGCTTGTCTTCCATGCGCAGGTAACCGAATACTGCCATTCGATAGGTTCTTAGTTTATCACACAGGTCAGTGACGCTGTCCGCTCGCTGTGACTAGGCCTAAATACATTTGTTTGAGAGGTGTAATATGTATTTATTTCACTAACATAATATAAATAAGATATTACTTTTTTTGCTGGTTATTTGGGTCTGTGACTCACCTGGCAGGGTAATAATCACCTAGGTAGGACATCCCAACATGCAAAATCTAATTTCAGGGAGATGGCTACACCAGCAACTGCACCCCCCATTGCACACACCCTCACACTCTCGCCCACACCTACACACACACAAGCTCCCACACACTCATACGTGCCACAAAACGCACGCATACACACAACCACCAAACATGTATGTGCAAGGACATGATATTTTATTATGACAGAACACAACTAATTACATATTACAACTATTTACACTGACACATGCACACACCTTGACACACAGATCCACTCACTGACACACAGATATGGACACTGACACACACACACACATGCACATACACACAGAGACACACACTTGCACTAATTACATCTGCAGCCACCCTTAACTTACCTTGTGTCCGTGTAACTGCTCACTCCAGTTTCTCCTCTGCCTCCACGCTGCCTGTGTGCTCCAGCCTCCTCCTGCGGGCTGTCTTCTTAGTTCGGAGGAAGTGACAGGCTGTCTATCACTTCCTTCCAGCCGGCAGATACCGCAGGGGCCGGTCAGGCTCAAATCTGTGTGCATCTTTTTTTATAATTTCCCCCAGAGGGTACATGCACTGCAGATTGAGAAGCTGCACGTTATTTATGGTTACTCCCTAAAGTGAGTATTGTCAGGAATTCAAAGTTAATCCAAAATTAATTTCAAATTTGAGCCAAATAGCTGAAAATTTCTCCAAGCAACTTGTTATTAATTTAGGGAATTAAAACATTTAAGGAATAATCATAATATTTCTTCATGTCCTCTCAGTATAAGATTCTTAAAGGGCCAGTCTAAGCACCAAAACCACTACATTTTAATAAAATGGTTTTGAGCTGCAGAAGCTGTCCCTTTTGTTTGGCAATGTAAAATCTTGCTTTTTCTGAAAATCATGCCTAAAACATGCCTTTAGTCAGTCAGTAGAGACACATTTTGAGGGCCTTCACATTTTGTCATCATTATTCAAACCATCAGTGGTGGAACTATCGCTGGTGGGGCTCCACTGGGGCCCGCACACAGAGGGACCCATTGGGTGTCCCATGCAAAACAATTCTTGCAGCAGGGCCCTCTCTACATTAGTTCCACCTCTGCAAAATGAGATCAATGGCTACTAATCCTTCTGGCTTGAAAGCATGCATGGTAAGTCCGCAACGCTCTCTATGAAGCATTGGATTGGACCAGAGATAGTTGGATCGAGCTGCAGAGGGGAGATTGTCCTGGGTGCAGGATTGCAGATAATTGTAATGCCTTTTAAAAAAAATTTTTTAAAGGAGGTCCCAGCAATCTATAATAAAAAAAAACAAAACCTAACATTAAAAATGTTAGAAACAATCTGAAAGTAATGAATTCCCCTGTCCACTTTCCCTTCTATGTGTCCATTAAATGGCTATTCATATACTACTGATCAATGATTAACCTGGACAGGGACAAAAGACAAGAACAGAAAACGGTCCAAGTTTGCACACACAGACTGAGACCTGACTCCTGACAAGTTCAGTCCTGGAGGCCAGCTCCTTCTCCTCATAGTGTCTGTCCACTGTTCCTGGATTACATACAGTACCACGAAGGGGCCACGATGGAAGAAAGCCACAATTAATATTCTCTTTATTTGTGCCAGAGCTGACCCTCACAGAATACCAACATTGACTTGTACCACAAAGCCCATTTGGTTATTCACAGTCTGTCTTTCATTATGTCTCTGGGGTCCATCTGTACAACGTGCACCCTGCACTTAATCATTCTTCTCATCTGTTGCTGTACCTGCAGTAAGTATACATCATAATTCCTCTGTTTCCACATTTTCTATAACACTTTAAAGTGTTTTACCTGCTGCGATCGTGATTGCCAGATCCAACATATTTTCCTGGAAACATATCCTGACCTCGTGCTGATGAGAAATTAATGAAAAGTGCTGCCCTGTAGTATGTATTATTTATATAAATAAATTGATCAAGACAATTCCATTCTGGAATCCTCGTTTGTTAAAAAAAATGATAACATTTTCACAATATATAAATCTACATATTTGGGCAGAGCTTTCCCATAATATGTTGGTCACAAATGTAACCATGATCAATAGATCAGATATAATGGCAATATTTATTCTTTATTAATGTAAGGTAAGGAGCATTCACTGCTTAGATACACCTGTTAAGGAAAATGATATTTTAGGACAATAAAGTCAAATCGTGCCTTCCAAAATTCTTACGATTGTTTTTCAAGACACCATGTGTCATTGTTTAATGAATACAACATTACAATTACATTATCCATAGCTTGGATAAAAGTATTCAGTTGGATATATAATACATGTCCATAATTTGAAGTAAAACTCTAGAGGTGCAAAGTTGTAAACTAAGCCCAGGTTTAATTATAGGAAATAAAGAATAAAAGATAGTGTTTAAAAGGGATACTATAGTGCCAGGAATACAAAGCTGTATTCCTGGCACTATCGCTCCCACTGCCTCCTCCCCTCACGCCGTCCCCTCCCCTCCCTGGTAAATACAGGGTAAAAACCCTATATTTTCTTACCTTATCCCAGCGCAGATGTCTCTCGGCGCTGGGTCGACACTCCGTCCCTCCGACGTCTCGCGAATCCATGCTTTCCTATGGAGAAAAGCATCAGTTACCGGACCAAAGCTCCGTTTCAATCCAGGAAGCTCTGCGCTGGGTTAAGGTAAGAAAATAAAGGGTTTTTACCGTGTATTTACCAGGGAGGGAAGGGGACGGCGCGAGGGGAGGAGGCAGTGGGAGCGATAGTGCCAGGAATACAGCCTCTTTGGAACTGCATTGTTTAACATTGCTGGACTACGTGCAAAAGGGACACATCACCCAGACTACTTCAATGAGCTGAAGTGGTCTGTGTGCCTATAGTGTCCCTTTAAACCATAGTGTCATTTACTAAATTCAAAACAAAAAGGTAGTAGGCTGATGAAGGCACAGATGAGGAAGAAAACCATGGACACAAGGGGACACATACAAATTAGGGGTGCACTGTATATATAGAGGGTATAGTCGGTGTATAGGGGCATACTGCATGTGCATATGTGATATAGTTTATGTGCATATAGTAGCGATAGTGTGTGGGGGTTTCATTCATTTAACAAAGGTATTAATAAAATAAATATTCCCCTCTCCCTGCTGTTACCTTTTGTTAGCATTCCAATCCCCGGTGATACTGCATTCCATATATCTCACTCTGCTCACCAACCTCTTTTCTCTATATCCCCATTACCCCCTAGAGCAAATTTGCCTCATTGTGTCCATTCCCTTTTTTTTTCTATTTATTTATTTTTTATTATTTTAGTTTTCATTTTACATACATGAAATAGCATGTTTGAATTAGGAGTAACAGTTCAGATAATAACATTTGAGAATTTAAATTAACAGTTCAGATATTGACATCTGAGTGTCGAAATTATCAGTTCAGATATTGACATTTGTGAGTTAGAATTAACATTGCTATGATCCTATCCCTTCAGTTTTGCACCGATACACAGTTGCTCTCATTTGCTTATATACATAAGCCTAATTTAGTACAGTCATGACCCTCATCACTGTCTATTGTCCTCTTGGTTTGGTAAGTATAGTATATCCATCATGCATACACTGAATTTTCCTTTTCCTGTGGGATCAGGTGTATTGGATAGCTCCCTGTGAGTGCATGTGTGTGCTGTTAATTGTCCTATTCACTAAGTTTCTACGTAGGGTTATCCATCGTTCCAGTGGAGTTATTGGTACGGTATGATCGCCCTCTATTGTCTTTTGGCATATTGGTTTAGGGAGGTGTTTCTCAACTACCTGGGTGCTTTAACCTGAGTGGTAGAGTATGTTGGTATGAGGTTGGATGCCATCTGGCCAGTCCCTCTTTTGTCTCTGTGTCCATTCCCTTTATTTCATGATCATGATGTTCTCCATTGTGTTCATGGTCCCCTCACCCTGTGTTTATACCCCCCATATGTCCATGTCTTCCTTTTGTGGCCAAGTTTCCACCTTGTGTCCATGTCACCATACCCTCCTTGTGTCCATGCCTATCTGTACCCCTATGCTTCCATGTCTCACACTTGTGGACATGTCCTACTCGTGTCCATGCCTGTGCAGTTAAATTCTGTGAAACAGCAGGAAGCACCTCTTGTGGCTGTCTTGTAGACACCACTACAGGCAATCTTAACCATATAATATAAAAATAGCTGTTTCTCTAAAACTGCAGTGTTTTATATTGCAGGATTAAGAGAGTAGGGACACTTCACCCAGACCACTTCAATGAGCTAAAGTGGTCTGGGTGCCTATAGTGTGCCTGGTAAATGAGAACAATACACATTGAGAAAATATTTGAAGGGCTATTAAGGGATAACATTCAGGAATTCATAGGGAAGAACTTTGTTATTAGAAATAATCAGCATGGTTTTATGAAACATATGTCATGTCAAACTAACCTAATTGCATTCTACGAAGAAGTAAGTAGAAGTATATTTCAGGGCGTTGCAGTGGATGTGATCTACTTGGATTTTGCCAAGGCATTTGGTACAGTTCCTCACAATAGGTTAGTGTTCAAACTAAAAGAAATTGGTCTAGATGAGTATTCTTGTTCTTGGGTAGAACATTGGCTTAAGGATAGAGTACAACGAGTTGTAATTAATGGTAAATTTTCAGGCTGGACAAAAGTGGTAAGTGGTGTCCCTCAGGGTTCTGTTCTGGGACCGCTTCTATTTAACATATTTATAAATGATTTTGAAATAGGCATTAAAAGCCACGTTTCAGTGTTTGCAGATGACACAAAACTTTGTAAAGTAATAAAATGTGAACAGGATATTGCTTTGCTGCAGAGGGATTTGGATAGATTGGGGGACTGGACACTAAAATGGCAGATGAAATTTAATGTAGAGAAATGCAAAGTTATGCACTTCGGGGTCAAGAATGCACTTAGGGATAACCACACATGAGAAGGATTTGGGAATTGTTATAGACAACAAATTAGGCAGAAATATGCAATGTCAATCTGCAGTTGCTAAGGCCAGTAAGGTTTTGTCATGTATAAATAGGGGCATAAATTCTCGGGATGATAATATAATTTTGCCTCTTTATAAATAACTGGTAACACCACACTTTGAATATGCTCTGCAATTTTGGGCACCTGTTCTAAAGAAGGATATCATGGCACTAGAAAAAGTGCAGAGACGGGCTACAAAATTGATAAAAGTAATGGAGCATTTTAGGTTAAAAAATGTAAATCTCTTTAGTTTAGAAAAATGGTGCCTCAGAGGTGATATGATAACATTATACAAATATATTTGGGGCCAGTACAAACCATTATCTGGAAATCTATTTATAAACAGGGCTATACATAGGACACGAGGTCACACATTTAGGCTGGAAGAAAGGAGATTTCATCTAAGGCAAAGAAAAGGTGTTTTTCTTACAGTAAGAGCAATAAGGATATGGAATTCTCTGCCTGAAGAGGTGGTTTTATCAGAGTCACTACAGAGGTTTAAACTGCAATTGGATACATACTTGCAAAAACATACCATACAGGGATATAATTTCTAATTAGTGGGGTAATAGCTGCTTGATCCAAGGAGACATCTGACTGCTATTTTGGGGTCAAGAAGGAATTTTTTCCTAGTTTGTTGCAAAATTTAAATTGCTTCAGACTGGGTTTTTTGCCTTCTTTTGGATCAACAGCAAAAACATATGTGAGGAAGGCTGAACTCGATGGACGCAAGTCTCTTTTCAGCTATGTAACTATGTAACATCCAAGCTGCATTCTTCAAAGAAAGAAAAATAATATAGCTAAGAAGCAACAAACCAATGATGTGAAAGTATTACAGCGAATTGATAGTGCTGTTATTGGACAACGTTCAATAATCTGGCCAATAGAACCGGGATGTACTACAGCGCTGTGTTTCCTCCTGTGTTATGGCCGACATGTTTTCAAATTGCTTGCTCTTCTCCCCACCAGGAGAGAGACGGAGTCACTCCATTACACCATGTTAATTGTATCATTGCCACGGCTGCATTTATCAAACATGTTATTACTAAATTCCTGTATGCTTTAACTCTTAGAGTAGTATAATGCAAATGTAGAGCTACTACAAAGGGAATAAGGTCGTCTGAGAGTCTACAGATAACTTAGAAACCTTCTAAAAATCTGTAATGTTGAGATTTTATGTGTGTGTACATTTTGCCATTATGAACATCATCCATAACGTCCTTTAAATTTAGCAATAACCCTACTTAAAGAGTAGATTATTTAAATCCAGTATTTGTAATACTAATGTTGCAAACACAAAAATATAGAAAGAATTGTTTCAGAGCTAATCAATAAGTAATTAAATTTTACCCATTTTATCACTCTAACATACAGTTCGTTCAAAAGTCCCATCCTTCCAGCCAGAAACATCCTACAGATATCGCTACACCATGGATTTAAAGATAGACCATGTCTCCCAGGTGTCTGTACCAGGAACCAGTTTAAAGTTTGATGCTAACATACAGACTCATGTCCTATGGAGAAATAAAAACAAGGAAGATGATCAGCTGATACATGTACAGGTGGGTGTTTGCATTAGCTTAATGGCCAGTGTATATAATTGAGAAGTATATAAACTGCTGGATGCGTTGATAGCTGTGTTCACCAAACGAGACACTTGTAAATATATGTGTAAAGGGACTTTCCTAAAGAATAAAGGAAGTGAAAAAGGTCTCTAGGGTCTATCCAACTAGTGAGGGCCTAACCCTAGTTTCAATGCAAGACATATTCCGAATAAACGGAACCAAAGAACGTTGGATAACCCTTTAGTTAAAATAAAACATCAAAGTAAAAATCCCAACGTGACAACCTAAGGCAAAATGTCTACTAAATGTCTGATATAGTTTGAAGCTAAAACACCTAATTAAAGGTTAACAGAACAGAGTATATATATATATATCAGTAGGATGGGCCAATTGGCAGGGGAAGCTATCTTGCTATATTATTTAACCTGTCTTCTGTCTAGTAACTCCTTATATTTCATAGGTGACTACTGATATTTATACTCTGTTCTGTTCAGTGGCAAACAGAATTTCAGCTGCAATAGCACTCTGACCGTAATTTATTTAATCTTTTTTAATATATTTTTATTGAAGAAAAAATAATAATAAATAATGAACGAATATACACTGGAGCATGCAGGTCCCAAAAGGAATGCCAGTCTTACTGCATGAATATAGAAAGTAACAATGACAAATACCATATACTGAAATCTCCAACGAATTTACTTTATCTGATCATCAGATAGAGACACGTTTGATGAGAATATTTATATACGTACAGGCATACCTAGGCGCATGCATAACATTTCAGAAAACATTTCTTTAGAGCTTACAAAATAATGTAAATGATGTGTGTAGCTTGTCGATGTGATATGCGTGTTTGTATATTATGCGAATGCTTTCTGATGTTGTGTACTGAGTAGTAGTTTGAGTATAATAATTTTTATAAAAACAATATGAAGGGATTTGTGGATATTTGGATACATAATAGGGAGGAAAATCACTAAAGTCACCATGGTGTAAGATCATCCTTGAATTACCCTCTAACTAGACAACAAATTAGGCAGCAATATGCAATGTCAATCTGCAGTTGCTAAGGCCAGTAAGGTTTTGTCATGCATAAATATAGGCATAAATTCTCGGGATGAAAATATAATTTTGCCTCTTTATAAATCGCTGGTAAGACCACACTTTGAATATGCTCTGCAATTTTGGGCACCTGTTCTAAAGAAGGATATCATGGCACTAGAAAAAATGCAGAGACGGGCTACAAAATTGATAAAAGTAATGGAGCATTTTAGTTACGAAGAAAGGTTAAAAAATGTAAATCTCTTTAGTTTAGAAAAATGGTGCCTCAGAGGGGATAAGATAACATTATACAAATATATTCGGGGCCAGTACAAAACATTATCTGGAAATCTATTCATAAACAGGGCTATACATAGGACACGAGGTCACACATTTAGGCTGGAAGAAAGGAGATTTCATCTAAGGCAAAGAAAAGGTGTTTTTCCTACAGTAAGAGCAATAAAGATATGGAATTCTCTGCCATGTTTCTCTGACATAGTCTGAATTGTACTTATATTTTCCTGATATATCTCTGATAGGGTTGGAGGGATCTAGAATGTGGTCCTTAAAAAACAAATGAAAACAACTTTTTGTGTTGATTAATCACATTTTAAATGGGCTGCCTAATGGGAACTTGGGTTACTCCAAAACTGCCATCTGTAGTGATTTTTTTTTCTTCATTGGTTCTAGATCCAGGATTTTGTGTTTCAACATCTATCAAGCAATAACAATGTCACTGGAGAGGATTTCACCTTCCAACAACTGTCAACCAGCAACATGCTTCGTCCTGTGCTCTTCCACTGGACTTCTGGAGAGGTACCTTGTAGTGTAAAGGTGGTTCTGTGTATGCAGCCCTAGCCACACCACCCCTTGCTGTGTCTTACACACATCCTGCTTGAATAAAATTATTTTCAACCAGATGTGAAAGCACAGTGTGTTTATTTTAGAAGTTTTATCTCCTGCTCTGTTAATTTTACTTTAATCACACCAGAGGCTCCTGTAGGTCCTAGGAGGCTATTAACCGTGCAAGAGATAAGATATTCTAATTAAGAAGACTGTGCAATAGAATATGTTTTCTTGTAAGTGTGTAGGGAGTCTGTGTAAGTCACATGCAGGGAAGCGAGACCATGGTGGCATAAACTAAGTGATTTATCTCCTAAATAGCAGAGAATTTAACAGTAAGACAGAAAGGGCATGATCTGTGTCCCAAACATATTTCATTAAGATAAGCTTGATTTGAAAAGTTCATTTGAAAAGTTGTCCCTTTGAAAAGTTAAAATGTATTTTCACTTGGCTATTATTACTCTAAAGTAATTGAATGATTGAGATCTCCTCTCCTGCACCTTGAACTGACCTTTGCTCGTCAACTGACCATGCAAAATAGGAGACATGGTGCATAAGGAAAGGGGCAGTGCTAGTATATAGTAGGCAGGATTGGACAGAGAGTGGGTGGAGCTAAACACCATTTCCCCAAGTGGAGAAGAAGGCTCTCTTCTCAAGGTCCAGCAGTCAGCTGTAATGGAACCCAGGAATTGTAAACACCTCTATTACCTAAATAGGAAATGTAATGCTAAAGTATTCAAAACTGTATATTGAAAGGAGCACTCCAAGCACCATAACCACGACAGATTGATGTAGTAGTTATAGTGCCCTGCCGCTCCCCATTGTAAGTAGTTGAACTATTTTTAACAGTTTGACTTTATATTAGGGGTCCTCTATATGTCACTCCCTGTCTCCACTAGTAATGCCGGAGAGCTCTGTGTCTGAGTTAAGGCCCAAGAGATCATCTGATGGTCTCAGCCATTGGGCTAGCTCTGGACTGCTTAAGATCTTCTGGCAATCCTGGCATCTTGGACTGTTCCTTTAAGGGAACATTTTTATTTAAGAAATTTTCCTCTTCATTGATGAGCTGATGTATTTTCATATATATATACACACTTTTCTCCAGGTGGTCGGCCTGTATGTTACCAAAGACGACAATGGACAAACCCTAGAATTGAAAAAAGGACTTGTCAGCCTGTTTCAGTTTCAGCCCCTTACAGGGATTTACACAGAGGTAGGTAATAATGGGTAGATAATGCAGGTTATATAACAGCTAAAAAATATTCAAATGGAATCGTTTGTGTAAACATTTTTTTTTAAATTTCATTTTTTTTAAATGATTAATTCATAACTAAGTACTAAATACAGAACATATTTAAATATCCAATTATATCTTTCTCTGTCGTGTATGGGTTATTTTAGATTTCTTCAGAATCCCCCCAAAGACGTGTGTGTGGCTATAATTTTATTATTCAGCTATGCATAGGTGTACACCAATCAGCCAAAACATAAAAACTACCTGCCTAGTAGGGTCTCTTGTGTCCCTCTTGTGCTGCCAAAATAGCTCTGATGTGTTGAGGCATAGACTCCACAAGACCTCTGAACGTGTCCTTGGTATCTGACACCAAGCCATTAGTCTTGCAAGTTGCAACGTCAGGCCTCCATGGATCGGATTTGTTGTTCCAGCACATCCCATAGATACTCAATCGTATTGAGATCTGGGGAATTTGGAGGCTAAAGCAACACCTTGAACTCTTTGTCATGTTCCTCAAACCATTCCTGAACATTTTTTGCAGTGTGGCAGCGTGCACTATCCTGCTGAAAGATGCCACTACCATCATGGAACACCATTGCCATGCAGGGGTGTACACAGGGACGTATTAGCCGCGAGGCAAACAAGGCATTTGCCTCAGGCGCCACTTTCCAGGGGGCGGCAAAAAAAGCTGCCCCCAAATGCCCAGGACAAATGTCTTGTTAGCCTGGCGGCTAACTAAAAATCCGGTCGGGCGGCGCTGGCGAGGGAGCACTTTCTCCTGAGCGCTCTGCTCAGCTCCCTCGCGCGCCGCAGAGTGGTGCCGGTCACCTGGAGCCGGAATATGACGTCATATTCCGGCTCCCAGCATCACTCTGCGGCGCATGAGGGAGCTGAGCACAGCGCTCAGGGGAAAGTGCTCCCTCACCAGCGCTGCCCACCCGCCCGCCCTGCAGCCCCACTGGACCCCAGGGAGTGGGAGAAACCCCCCCCCCCAGCATTCCCACAGGTAAGGAGGCTGGGGGGTTAAATAAAAAAAAAAAGTTTTGTCATGCCTAGGGCAGCACAAAACAAGGATACACCACTGGGTGTACATCATCTGCAACAATCTCTAGGTAGGTGGTACATGTGAAAGTAACATCCGCATGAATGGCAGGAGCCAAGATTTCCCAGCCGAACATCGCCCAGAGCATAACACTGCCTGGTCTGCTTTCTTCCCATAGTGTGTCCTGCTGCCATCTCTTCCCCAGGCAAACAACGTACACACATCCATCCACCTGATTTAAAAGAAAACTTCATTAATCACACCAGGCAACCTTTTTCCATTGCTCCATGGTCCAGTTCTGATGCTCATGTCCCCCTTGAAAGGACTTTCAGTGTCATGGGCATTCTGACCGGTCTGAGGATATGCAGCCAAGTGTGAACCACTGTGTATTCTGACACCTTTGTATCATTACGTTTTTTAGCAGTTTGAGCTACAATAGCTCTTCTGTGTGAACGGAGTAGACAGACTAGCCTTTTCTCCCTACGTGCTTCAATGAGGCTTGGTTGCCCGTGACAATTACACCGGTTCACTGGTTGTCCTTCCTTGCACCACTTTTGGTAGGTACTAACCACTGCATATCAGGAACACCCCACAAGCCTTGCTGTTATAGAGATGCTCTGATCCAGTCATCTAGTCATCACTATTGGCCCTTGTCACACTCACTCAGATCCTTTCACTTGCTCATTTTTCCTGCTTCCAACACGTGACATTCAAGAACTGACTGTTCATTTGCTGCCTAATATATCCCATTACAGGAGCCATTGTAATGATATTGCATTATTCACTTGTCGGTGGTTTTAATGTTGTGGCTGATCAATGTATATTTTATATAATTTATATATCTTTTCATGTACTGTTATAAGTTTATATATATACATATATCATACTAGATCCAGCGTACTCACTCATTCTATTAACAGCACCTTTAAAGCTCACAAAATTTAATAGTTTTATTTTTTTTCAAATCTGACTTAGGCAAAAATAGTGGGGTTTAGTTAGGGTATGTGATCATACATTGCATGAGCATGGCACAATGCCAATGTACTCCATTCTTGGCAGGTATTGTTAGCAACCTAATGCCTGCTCTTATGAAATGAATCTACTTACTTGGGAAATACTTCCTCCTGGGACTCTATGCAGTGCAAGGTTAAACAGGGTCCTGGAATGTGGCACCTGTGACAGGGAGGGGTGCAAAACTGGGATTTGGTCTGGACTTCCAAATATCTAACTGAAACCAAGAGGGCTGCACTCACCTGAACATGCAGACATTATCGAGGTCACTTTATAAAGCATGTTTATGTAAGTGTAGCCCTTTGGTGTTATATGTCTGTATGTGTATATATATATATATATTGTTAATAATATATTTACATTTTACATCATTAAATAATAATGAGAATAACACTATTCGTATACTTTATGTATATTTTTCAGGAAGATGTCACAGGTAAATGTAGTGTTACCTATGTCACATCCAATGATCTCATCAAAAAGACGAAACACCTTCGCAGCTGTACAAATTCTCCATTACAGTTTGAGTCCGATGAAAAGGTAATCTATATTTTGGTGGCGGGGAAAGGACACTACATATCCAGGACACGACATGTGGACACTACACCCATAACTTCACAAACAAAAACATTCAAGTGTGTTATGTGCATAGGTGACACTAGAGCAACTTGATTGTGCCTCGTTCCCCTGTGTGCTCTCCCATTGAACTTCATGGCTGGTGAGGACCTCTCCCTGCCTGTGAGCGGAGATCAGGCCCCTGAAGATATTTTATAGAGAGTATTTAAATACTTTAGAATACTTTAGAAGGTTAAAATGGGGAGATGAGACAAGAGGTAGCAGAGGAATTTGGAGGTGATGGCAGAGAGAATTAACGGTTTAATGGTACAATTGCAGTGATCTCAAACACTGGAACAGCATGATATAGAGTTAGAAGGAACCAAGGTGGGCAATGCTTAGTGGAGATGAACTGGCTTTGTTTCAGTCACTTTGTGGAATTGGGGCTCAAAGTTGCAGGGAGACATGGAGATGAAATGGCTTAGTTTCAGTTGCTTTGAGGAACTATTAAAGCGTTGCTGTGCATTACTGCAGCAATGCTCTGGTAAACCCCCTGCACCGGCCGCATATATATCTTTATTTTTTATTAGAAAAGGTTTATATACCGCCTCTTATCTCCCCACCATAGCCCCTATTCCTCCCACAATAGCCCTTTATCCCCATCACCCTTTACTCAGCCAAATGCCTATCCCTCCCCTACACCCACTATAGCAACTGCCAACTGCAGTCCCTATGCCCACTGCAGCCACTACAGTCCCAATTACCCCCTGCACCCACTACAGACCTTATGCCCCCTTACCCACTACAGACCCTTGGCTCTCTGCACCCACTAAAACCTTTACAAAACTCCTAATAACATTTAACCTAATAAACTTTAATAACACTACAGCCTCCATTACCCTCTGCACACACAACATGCTCCCTGCACCCACTACAGCCACTATTGTCTGTGCACCTTTACAGCCACGAGCCCCTTGCACCCACTATAGTCCTTATCCACCCTGCACCCACTACCCCATGTGACCATTACAGCCCCTGATACCCCTTGCACCCACTGCAACCCCTATCCCTCTCCTGCACCCCACTAAAGCCTCTATTAACCCCTGCACCCACTTTAGTCTCTAACCCTCCCCTGCATCCACTACAGCCGCTATCACCACTACAAACACTATTAATATGATTTAGTGGTGGACATCATTAGTGACTGTGGTAGTGTATGGGCCTCCTCCCCTGTGTATTGTATTGTTCCTAGACTCTCCACCGGTTATTTGTGTGAAACGGACCTTTAAACACACTTTAACCCCTTCACTACTTTTTGATTGTATATGAGGATCTAGAAATATAAATCGTAATTTTTATTGAGTAAATGTGTATCACAGAATTCCACATCAATAGAATTCACAATAATATGCATTTATTTCACTTAATTTTAAAGTTATTCATAAAGTGAGAATTCAAAGTGAGTTCAAAGGGAATTTTAGATTTAAAGTCCAAATAGCTGAACTGGAAAAATGATTTCAGCCATGCTTTTAGTACAGCTACTCTGGCCTTAAAGTAAAACTCACTTGCAAGGTTATTCAATGCAGTGAGAATTCAAAATGAATTTTAAATGTAAGCTGACATAGAGAATTTTTCCACTTGGGCTATTTTGAGCTTAAAGTGACACTTTAGTCACCAAAACAACTTTAGCTTAATAAAGCAGTTTTGGTGTATAGATCAAGCCTCTGAAGTTTCACTGCTCAAATCACTGCCATTTTAAAGTTAAATCACTTTTGTTTCAGTTTATGCAGCGCTAGCCACACCTCCCCTGACTGTGACTCACACAGCCTGCATGAAAACAAAATGGTTTCATTTTCAATCGGATGTAACTTTAAATTATTTTTTTTAATCTCCTGCTCTGTAAATTGAACTTTAATTATGTACAGGAGGCTCCTGCTGGGTCTAGCAAGCCATTAACAGAGCAATCGATAAGAAACTCTAAATTAAACAGACTGTGCAATAAAGGAAGTATAAATATTAGATGACTCTTTACAGGAAGGGTGCATAAAAAAAAAGTGACTTAACTCCTAAATGGTAGGAAGCTGAGCAGTGACACTGCAAGAGCATGATGTATACACAGAAACTGTATCATTAAGCTAAAGTTGTTTAGGTGACTATAGTGTCCATTTAAATTTAAAATGCTCTTTGAATTCAGTTAGAATTTTTGATTGAGTAAATAACAATTTCAGTGTTCCTATTTGTCCAGGTGTAATGCTGGGAAATTCTCAGATATTATCTGCAAAAATGTTATGCAAGATTTTCATTTTAGTTTTTTTAAATCAAATTTTATATAATTTGTTTAGTTCTAATTGTTGGCTCATTTTCCTCTTGCATCCATCATCTTTATTTCTATAAAATTCCATAACAAGTTGTTGTTTTTTTAATTGCAAAAAAAAATAAAAATTAAAAAACGTCTTCCTCTTGATGTAGATTTATTTGCCCACCTCAGATATTTAAACATATTGCATACTACGTTAGCGTAGATGCTTCCATATCCGGATCCAATGCACTATTTTGTTGTGAGTCTAGACCATGATACGGACTGGCGTTACTAAAATCCATATTATAATAAAATAGATACATTTTGCTTATTCATAAGAAAATACATTTTCTACAAAGAAACTAAATTTGTAAAGGAACTGTTAATCTGCCTCAAATACTTATCGTAGCAAAACTGTTGGTGGTCTTGGTTTCTCTCCAACGTTCGTATCAGTGGTTCACCTTTGGAAGCGACCCTAGTTTCATGCGAGGGGTCAGGGCAAGCTGACAGGTGAAGACCAACACTTGCGTCATGACTTTTAGAATGTTTCGATTTCTAGGCAGATGTCCAAATTTCTTAACTTTGGCGTGAGTTCTGTTTCTTCATTATCTATATTCAATGAATTTTATGAGCACATTTTATGCCCTTTGGACTATCTCTGTGTGTGGGGAGGAGGGATTTACTAGAACACATCTAAGTGAGAATGAGTCTTAATAAAAAAAATTTACATAATAAAAAATAATGTTTAATGGCTCAGTAAGTGTAGATTTAAGTCAAAATTGTCCATGTTATTTTTGAGAAATTTGTTCCTTTTTGTAACTCTAACCAAATGATATCAAACACAGTCATTTTATATATAATATTACTATATTTGTTTTTGTATTTTAGCACAATGAATATAGATTTGCACACTTGTGCTTGTTTGTTTGTTTTTGGTTAATATGCACCCAAAAATACAACATTGTAATATACAGTTGTGCTCAAAAGTTTGCATACCCTGGCATAAATTGTGACATTTTGGCATTGATTCTAAAAATATGACTGATCAAAAAATGTATTTTATTGAAGGATAGTGATCACACGAAGCTATTTATTATCAGATAGTTGTTTGGCTCCTTTTTAAATCATAATGATAACAGAAATCCCCCAAATGGTCCTGATCAAAAGTTTGCATACCCTTGAACGTTTGGTCTTGTTATAGACACGCAAAATGACACACACAGGTTAAAATGGCAATTAAAGGTTAATTTCCCACACCTGTGACTTTTTGAATTGCAATTAGTGTCTGTGTATAAATGGTCTATATGTTTGTTAGCTCTCACATGGATGCACTGAGCAGGCTAGATACTGAGCCATGGGGAGCAGAAAAGAACTGACAAAAGACCTGTGTAACAAGTTAATGGAACTCTATAAAGATGGAAAAGGATATAAAAAGATATCCAAAGCCTTGAAAATGCCAGTCAGTACTGTTCAATCACTTATTGAGAAGTAGAAAATTCGGGCATCTCTTGATACCAAGCCAAGGTCAGGTAGAAAAAGAAAGATTTCAGCCACAACTTTTCGGACAGAAGAATTTTTGGGGATACAAAGAAAAGCCCACAGGTAACCTCATGAGAAATACAGGCTGCTCTGGAAAAAGATGGTGTGGTTGTTTCAAGGAATACAATATGACGATACTTGAACAAAAATGAGTTGTATGGTCGAGTTGCTAGAAAGAAGCCTTTACTGCGCCAATGTCACAGAAAAATATGCCTGGCAACACCTTGACATGCCTCACAGCTTCTGGCGCACTGTAATTTGGAGTGATGAGACCAAAACAGAGCTTTATGTTTACAACCATAACCCCTATGTTTGGAGAGGGGTCAACAAGGCCTATTATGAAAAAGAATACCACCCCCACTGTGAAGCATGGTGATGTTTCTGTGATGTTTTGGGGCTGTGTAAGCTCTAAAGACACTGGAAATATTGTGAATTGATGGCAAGATGAATGCAGCATGTCATCAGAAAATACTGGCAGACAATTTGCATTGCACGAAGGCTGTGCATTGGACGCTCTTGGACTTTCCAACATGAGAACAGTTGAACCTCCACCTGGGCAGCTATACCACCTGCAAGAATCAGATACCTCATAGACAAATATTACAAAAGACTGCACACTGTCATTGATGTTAAAGGGGCCAATACACAGTATTAAGAACTAAGGTTTTTTTTTCCTTTGTTGCCATGTTTTGTTTTATGGTTGTGCCATTCTTTTATAACCTACAGTTAAATATGTATACCATTAAAATAAAAGAAATGTGTTTTTCCTGCTTACTCGTGTTTTCTTTAAAAATGGTACATATATTACCACTGGGAGAAAGGCGCTATATAAATACCACTTATTATATTACCAATTCTCCAAGGGTATGCAGACTTTTGAGTACAACTGTAGGCTGAGATATTAAATGATTTCCTATCAATGAGTTGGAAGGTTAGAATATTGGAATGCTACACATGTAACTAATTCTGGGAACACATACATTTATAGGCACAGGTGATGATTTAATTCTATTTTTGTTGTAACATTGGCCTTGATTTAATATTTTTTTATTTTCTTTTTTAAATTTTTATTTTTGTTGTGCATAAATTTTTTTAACATAAATTTTTGTAGCTTGCGAGGCCACAATAGCTTCCACGGAAGTATCAAGTGCTTGGCGTCTGATAATCAGGCTGTCCCCCATACAGACATTCTTCACCCGACTACTTGACTGGGCACTGCTCGGAGGTAACAGCTAAGTCCATCAGAAGGAGCCCTTATGCAGCCAATGTGTGAGGTACTCTTCTGCTCCCGGCCCCTGTTGGAGCCAGTGACACATGTAGCGGGACAGTGATCAGAGGTGGCGGCACGTTGGGAGTGAGGTAAGTGCACCCTCCAGCCCCAGGCCGGTATGGAGGCCGACATCTTTGGTCCACGGACCTGGTATCCCTGATGGGCCAAATCCCTCCCGGATCGGGAGTAGCGGGGGATCCCGATGGTCTGCCGCCACCCGCGGTGGTGGGCCCTTCGTTGATGTGGTGATGTCTCTGGGTCAAGCCCTTGGTGGCCCTTGGCTCAGGTAGGCCAGTAGCTATGAGAGTAGTTATGGGCATTATCGTCTTCAGGGTATTTGGAATCCAACCAGGTATTGTACTGTTGGGGGAAGGTCAAAGGGGACAAGTCACCCCCTCCATCTATACATTGTGCTAACAGATTTGCTAGCAAATGTATAGATTGGGAAAAAAAAAAACTATTTAAATATAAGTCTTTCTTCCACCTCTCAGGCAAATCTTTGGCGTAGACTTTATATACTGACAATGAGAAGGCAGAGCAGAACATGCTTCCTTCTGCTCTCCCAAACACCCAAGCAGGGAAAATGAAAGAAGACCAGGTGAGTATATCTCGAAAACGTACATTGAATACATCATGTACCTTTGTGATGTATTCAATGGATATGGGGTGATTTAAGATAAGTAATTTATCCCATTCCAGAGGACATGTCATAGTTTCTGCAATGATAAGATTTGATATTTTCCCAACTCAAGTCCATGAGCCATCAAAATGATCATTCTCATGTTCTTAAATTTCACTAACTGTTAAAATATAACAAGTACTTTTAAGAAAGACTGCTTAAGTGATATATTATTATTGTGGTCAGGGAAATAAGCCGTATTGATGTTAGACCTTATGATTAACAGAAGTCAGTTGTGGTGTGTCCCGAAACCGATGTACGGGCAGGCCTGTAAATAAAGAGGGCCCGACAAGGTATAACTGAATAGAGGGAGTGGTGGATGGGGTGACCAGCTGATGTCAGCCTAGTATAGAGGTAGGTATGAGTATATATAGGCCAGCTCAACCCTTCCCATTATTTCAGGCTTCGCCTTCCCATTTATCATTTATCTAGCACCAACATATATTGCAGTGCTTTACAATTCTACAGGGGGATATTTAGTGGTAAAGAAGGCCCTGTAAACAAGCTTACAATCTATTCAGATCTAGATCTGGGTGTTGCAGTGGATGTGATCTTTTTGGATTTTGTCAAGGCGTTTGATACAGTTCCAATAGATTAGTGTTCAAACTCAAAGAAATCAGTCTAGATGAAAATGCTTGTTCTTGGGTAGAACATTGGCTTAAAAATAGAGTACAAAGAGTTGTCATTAATGGTTAATTTTCAAGCTGGACAGAGGTGGCAAGTGGTGTCCTGCAGGGTTCTGTTCTGGAACCCCTTCTATTTAACATGTTTATATATGATCTTGAAAAAAACATTGAAAGTCATGTTTCTTTTGCTGATGACACAAAACTCTGTAAAGTAATACAATGTGAGCAAGATATTACTTTGCTGCAGAGGGATTTAGATAGATTGGGAGACTGGGCACTCAAATGGCAGATAAAATTTAATGTAGAAAAATGCAAAGTTATGCACTTCGGTGTAAAGAAAACACAAGCAACGTATACCCTTAATGGAAGCGAATTAGGGATAACAACACACAAGAAGAACTTGGGAATTGTTATACAGGTGATACTCGAAAAGTTAGAATATCGTGCAAAAGTTAATTTATTTCAGTAATGCAACGTAAAAGGTGAAACTAATATATGAGAGAGACGCATTACATGCAAAGCAAGATACTTCAAGCTGTGATTTGTCATAAGTGCGATGATTATGGTTTACAGCTCATGAAAACCCCAAATCCACAATCTCAGTAAATTAGAATATTACATGCAATCAATAAAACAAGGAGTGTACATATAACAATATTGGACCTTTGAAAAGTATAAGCATGCATATGGACTCAGTACTTGGTTTGGGCCACTTTTGCAGCAATTACTGCCTCAATGCGGTGTGGCATGGAAGCTATCAGCCTGTGGAACTGCTGAGGTGTTATGGAAGACCAGGATGCTTCAATAGCGGCCTTCAGCTCTCCTGCCCTGTTCGGTCTCATGTCTCTCATCTTTCTCTTGGCAATAGATTGCATGTGGGGTTCAGATCAGGCGAGTTTGCTGGCCAATCAAGCACAGTAATCCCACGGTCATTGAACTAGGCGTTGGTGCTTTTGGCAGTGTGGGCAGGTGCCAAGTCCTGCTGGAAAATGAAGTCAGCATCCCCATAAAGCTCGTCTGCGGAAGGAAGCATGAAGTGCTCCAAAATCTCCTGGTAGACGGCTGCGTTGACCCTGGACTTAATGAAGCACAATGGACCAACACCAGCAGATGACATCGCTCCCCAAATCAACACAGACTGTGGAAACTTCACACTGGACTTCAAGCATCTTGCAGTGTGTGCCTCTCCATTCTTCCTCCAGACTTTGGGTCCTTGGTTTCCAAATGAGATGCAAAAGTTGCTCCCATCAGAAAAGAGCATTTTGGACCACTGAGCAACAGATCAGGTCTGTTTTTCTTTAGCCCAGGTAAGACGCTTCTGACGTTGTTTGTTGTTCAGGAGCAGCTTGACAAGAGGAATATGACATCTGAAGCCCATATCCAGGATCCATCTATGTGTGGTGGCTCTTGATGCACTGACTCTATCCTCAGTCCACTCCTTGTGAAAGTCCCCAACACATTTAAATGGCCTTTTCCTGACAATCCTGTCCAGGCTGCGGTCATCCCTGCTGCTTGTGCACCTTTTTCTTCTACACTTTTCCCTTCCACATAACGTTCTATTAATGTGATTTGATACAGCACTTTGGGAACATCCATCTTCCTTCGCAATTACCTTTTGAGGCTTTCCTTCCTTATGGAGGGTGTCAATGATGGTTTTCTGCATAACTGTCAGGTCAGCAGTCTTCCCCATGATTGTGATTCCTACTGAACCAGACTGAGAGACCATTTAAGGGCTCAGAAACCCTTTGCAGGTGTTATGGCTTACTTAGCTGATTAGAGTGGGACACTGTAAGCCTAGAATATTGCACCTTTTCACAATATTCTAATTTACTGAGATTGTGGATTTGGGGTTTTCATGAGCTGTAAGCCATAATCATCGCACTTATGACAAATCACGGCTTCAACTATTTTGCTTTGCATGTAATGCGTCTATCTCATATATTAGTTTCCCCTTTTACGTTGCATTACTGAAATAAATTAACTTTTGCACGATATTCTAATTTTTCGAGTATCACCTGTAGACAACAAACAATGTGTGCAATGTGTGCAATGTGCAATGTCAATCAGCAGTGGCTAAGGCAAGTAGGTATTGTCATGTATAAAAAGAGGCATTCATGCTCGGGATAAGAATATCATTTTGCCTCTTTATAAATCACTAGTAAGACCACATCTTGAAAATGCTGTGCAATTTTGGGCACCGGTTCTAAAGAAGGATATTAAGGCACTAGAAAGAGTGCAGTGGCAGGCTACAAAATTATTAAAAGGAATGGAACATTTTAGCTATGAAGAAAGGTTAACAAATTAAAACCTCTTTAGTTTAGAAAAACATTGCCTCAGAGAGGATATGATAACATTATACAAATATATTCGGGGCCAATACAAACCATTGTGTGGAAATCTATTCACAAACCGGACTTTACATAGGACAAGAAAGAAGATTTAGTCTAAGGTTTTTTTTACTGTAAGAACGATAAGGATGTGGAATTCTCTGCCTGAAGAAGTGGTTTTAGCAGAGTCCATACAGAAGTTTAAACAGCAACTAGATGCATACTTGCAACAACAGAAACATTTAATTATATAATTTTTTCAATGTAGGGTAATAGCTTCTTGATCCACGGATAAGTCTGACTGCCATTCTGGGGTCAAGTTCCCCTCGCAAGTTGCCTAGTTTGTTGCAAAATTGTACAAACATGGTATAACTCGAAATGTCCACATCAAAAAAGTACAATAAAAAAATCTCCCTAATAATAATAAAAATAAAAGGAATATTATTATAAGGGAATAAAGGTACTAAATGTATATTTACTAGAAACCTAATTACTACAGGGGGTAATTTTCTAATATAGGAACTGTGTGGTCCTTGCTTCAGCAGCACGCATACTGGAACTGGGACAATACAGAGAAGATTAGCATTGTGGTCCATTCGCAATGATAACACACAAATTCGTAAAACATTCCATATTAGCAAAAAAAAGCAATTCATTTGTCAATTTTACACAATTCCCATCTGTAGCCTGGAGGAAGACAAGTTAATGCCCAGTATAGCAATATCACTGAACTTATTTATTGTACACTTAAAAATCTGCTTCTGGGTGAGGGGTGCCCAAAAGGTAAATTCCCATGATGCTTTGTCATGCTATAGCATTCTAAAGCCGTGAAAAGCATCATGGGAGTTGTAGTTTGAGAACATCTGGGGATTTAACTTTATGGGCACCCCTGTTCTAGGTCTGTTAATCTTTTGAAAAAGTCATTTAAAAAAAAAAAATTTGTTTTCAAGGTTTTGGGTGTTTCTTGGAATTCCACCAGTCGGGGACATGCACTTCTTAATCACAGTATAATACAGACCGCTACATCGGAGGAAAACCACACAGTCTCACTGCGTGTGAAATCAAATCTTGGTACACATATTACTTCCAGGTATTGTGGTACTTGATTTTTCAGATACATTTAAAGGCTCATTTGTAGCAAAATAATCTAAAAACACATAATGAATGAAATTACATGATATTATTGAATAAGGTTTTTGTGATGTACACCAGTAAGTCGATAAACAGCCCACTTTACAAGGTTAAACTTCTCTATAGTCCTTCCGATGAATACTCTAGGTCTAGGGGGGTTTACCCTATGCCAGAATTACAGAGAATTGACAGGTAAAATGCATTTGGGTCAATTCAAGCTTAGAGTATCCACTTAAGAAACTTTATTGGCAAACTATGATCTAATTTGTATTCCATGTACGTTTTTTCAGTCTTGGTTTTATGTTTTCATATCATTCTGATTCCAACAGGCAAGTGATGGAGCTCATAGAAACTTCTCCAGGATCTCCTGAGGTTCATGGAATCAGTTTTGAGAAGGTACTGGAAGAGCTACCTGAGAAGTACCAGAAAATAGAGATCACAAGTCACCCATTGGAACGTTCCAAAGAAAATTTCACGGTAAGCTAGCCACGTTCTTATGGGTAACAGCTATAGCATACAGAGCAGGATTAACAATAAAACGACTAGGCAGCCGCCTATTGCTCAAGTGTTAGGCAGGGGCTGAGACATTGAATTTGCTTGGCCCCATTACTCATTCCTAGGTGAAGCATAAGGTGGCGCAGGGGCAACTGCCTAGGGCCCTGTGTGATCTTAATCCTTAATCATTATGGTTTATTCAGAATGATAATTTTAAAGACAAATTACATAAAGAACATTAAGTAAAGGGACATTTATCTCTAAATTTATCTCTCTTCCAGTGCAAAAAGATAAAAGACAAACATGACAGTCATTAATGGTATACATAAGTTAATTGTGGCTCAACAGGTGGGTCCCCTATGGGTGTGCCGTTCTGTGTGGATCCCCTAATAAGTCCCCATGAGGTCCCCTCCTTTCTCTCTCTTTGGTCGTAGGCATCGTCTTTATCCCTCTATTCACTTGAGCGCCTATGAGTTTTTTCATGTTTCAACCATATCTGGTTATAGAAAGGACATTTTGGCAGGGTTGTCACGACATGATCTTCAGATAATTTGTTTTCCTCCAAAAAAAAAAAAAAATCGAGAATTGAATAAAGCTTATGGGAAAAATGTTATATTTTAGACATTCTGCTAAAACCACTCCTGATTTCTGCACCATTCCTTAGGACAGATGCATATTGGGAAATATTAGTTTCATTAGTTTGTTCTAAGAAACAAGAGATTTAAGTTCAACATTTTTCAAAAACAAAAAGAACTGTTTAATACGAATCTGTTAGCTAATGAAGACCAGGAAAAGGCAGAAATTTTAAATACATTTTTCTTCAGTATGTATTAATGAGGATCCTATGGCAAGAGATATGCAAATGATTGCTGCAAAAAAACTTGCAGATAACTTGTGATTGGATAACTCGAGACAAGGTGCTACAGCTATTAAAGAAAATTCATGTAAATAAAGCTCCGGGGCCTGACGGTATCCACCCACGAGTACTTAAGGAGCTAAGTGGGGAAATAAGTGAACCTCTGTATTTAATTTTTCAAGATTCTTTTGTTTCAGGTATTGTACCGGAGGATTGGAGGAAGGCAGATGTTGTTCCTATATTTAAAAAGGGTTCAAAATCCTTGCCTGGAAATTATAGACCTGTGAGCTTAACTTCTGTGACTGGGAAATTATTTGAACGGCTGTTAAGGGATGATATTCAGGAATTCATTGGGATGAACTTTGTTATTAGCAATAATCAGCATGGTTTTATGAAACATAGATCATGTCAAACTAACCTAATTGCATTCTACGAAGAAGTAAGTAGAAGTATAGATCAGGGTGTTGCAGTGGATATGATCTACTTGGATTTTGCCAAGGCATTTGATACGGTTCCTCACAATAGGTTAGTCTTCAAACTAAAAGAAATTGGTCTAGATGAATATTCTTGTTCTTGGGTAGAACATTGCCTTAAGGATAGAGTACAACGAGTTGTCATTAATGGTACATTTTCAAGCTGGACAAAAGTGGTAAGTGGTGTCCCTCAGGGTTCTGTTTTGGGACTGCTTCTATTTAACATATTTATAAATGATCTTGAAATAGGCATTGAAAGCCATGTTTCAGTGTTTGCAGATGACACAAAACTTTGTAAAGTAATAAAATGTGAGCAGGATATTGCTTTGCTGCAGAGGGATTTGGATAGATTAGGGGACTGGGCACTAAAATGGCAAATTCAATTTAACGTAGAGAAATACAAAGTTATGCACTTCGGGGTCAAGAATGCACAAGCAAGTTACACGCTAAATGGTAGTGAATTAGGGATAACCACACATGAGAAGGATTTGGGAATTGTTATAGATAACAAATCAAGCAGCAATATGCAATGTCAATCGGCAGTTGCTAAGGCCAGTAAAGTTTTGTCATGTATAAATCGGGGCATAAATATAATTTTGCCTCTTTATAAATCACTGGTAAGACCACACCTTGAACATGCTCTGCAATTTTGGGCACCTGTTCTAAAGAAAGATATCATAGCACTAGAAAAAGTGCATAGACGAGCTACAAAATTGATAAAAGGAATGGAGCATTTTAGTTACGAAGAAAGGTAAAAAAATTTAAATCTCTTTAGTTTGGAAAAACGGTGCCTGAGAGGGGATATGATAACATTATACGAATATATTCGGGGCCAATACAAACCATTATCTGGAAATCTATTCATAAACAGAGCTATACATAGGGCACGAGGTCACACATTTAGGCTGGAAGAAAGGAGATTTCATTTAAGACAAAGAAAAGTTGTTTTTTTTTTATAGTAAGAGCAATAAGGATATGGAATTCTCTGCCTGAAGAGGTGGTTTTATCAGAGTCCATACAGATGTTTAAACTGCCATTGAGTAAATACTTGCAAAACATAACATACAGGGATATAATTTCTAATTAGTGGGGTAATAGCTGCTTGATGCAAGGAGACATCTGACTGCTAGTTTGGGGTCAAGAAGGAATTTTTGTCCTAGTTTGTTGCAAAATTGGAAGCACTTCAGACTAGGTTTCTTTTGCCTTCTTTTGGATCAACAGCAAAAAACATATGTGAGGAAGGCTGAACTTGATGGACGCAAGTCTCTTTTCAGCTATGTAACTATGTAACTATGTAATACAATGTTAGGTAGACTTGTGTACTGCGACAAAATTAATTTCGGAGTAACCACGTTGTCCAAAAAAAAAAAATTCTGCGTCGACAAAATTTCATGCCTGTGGTGGTTAGGCTCATCACAATTTCGTCCACTGAAAAACGTTCAGAAAAACAAATCAGACAAACCAAAAGAGCGATAAAAAGTACCATTCAATCATTATGTATATATTTTGCAGTACACTGATAGGAGCAGTTTCCCGCCATTTTGGTTCACAAATCAAGTGAGAAAAAGTAACAAATAAAAGAAAAATAAAGAACAGCAGTAATAAATCTATATTTAATATTGAGATATATATATACATATATTTCCCCTCTATTGGTCATTTCTCACTTAAATTGTGAATTAAATCAACATTTAATGGCTGCTCCCTAGATATCAATCAACCTTTTATTCCCATTAACCGGTTTTTGGTTTTTTTTGGTGCAACATACTAAACTTAATTACAAATCAAATGAACATGCTCATGAATTGTTTGACTAGTCTATACGGCGGTTTGGAAATCACCCAATTGGCTCAAATTTGGAAAAATTGCATTTCCTAACAAAACGAATTGTCAAGTCTAATGCTAATGTGACACAGCATTTTTCTGCTCTGGAGATTAATATACATATTAATAGGTTCATTTTATATCCTTCTCAGACTTCCTTGCTTTCTGTAACTGGGCAAATTAAGTCAAAAATGGCCTCTGTTCAAAGAAAAGACAGATAAGGAAACCTTGCCTAAATGAAGCAAAACTGATAGCCTTGGAATATTTCATTTAATTGCACTTCTGAAGGCACTTTACACAGAATCAAACTGAATGTAGAATTTTTTTTTAAAGATTTTATGTTGAACATCCATTTAATAATGTCTTTCCTGGAGCTGATCAGCCCTAGACCATGGGGCTTATATATATGATGAATACATCTTTAACACGTGCAAAGCAAAAAAGTTAGGAAAATGGTCTATATGAAGAATGCCAGTTTGATTTGAATTAATCTGCATTAAAATAGAAAGAGGTAGCGAGATACAGACAGAGATATAGAGTTATAGATAGATGTGTGTTTAAAGGGACACTATAGACACGCAGACCACTTCATCTCATCGAAGTGGTCTGAGTGCTGTGTCCCTGACCTGATACATTTTTAGAGAAAGTGCAATGTTTACTTTGCAGTGCTTATACTGCCTCTAGTGACTGTCTACCAGATATCCACTACTGGTGCTTCCTGTAGTTTTTATAGAATTTATCTGCATGAAGCGATGCTCTACGTTCTCAGGCTTTGCATTAAGACATCCAGCATGTTGAAAAACCCCATAGGAAAGCATTGAATCCAGATCATTAGGTCCCCCATCAGTTGACGCTGGAGG